ATTTTTTGTGTTTGAAGTAATGAAAAGACTAAACATTTGTTTTTTTTCTCTTAAAAATTTTATTTCTCTTTTTTATGATAAACACGCATTTTAAATGAAAATGAAAAAAATTTCTCTCTCATTCTCTTTAGGAAAAACATTAAAATTATTAATTATTCAAATAAAAAACTTTCGATATATTTATGTGGTTTGTTGTGAAGAAACAATGTGAGAAGATACGACGCATAATGAAGCATGTCGATGCTACATATAAGAATCAAACGTTCGTAGAGTGATCTATTTATGGATGCGCCTTCCCTTTTTATATTCATATCTAAAATGTTTACATCGTGAATTGAATCGCTGATCATTCTTGAATGTTTGAGTTTGACTCAAACAAGAGCATATGATTGTAGTTCATGCGTCAGTAACGTAACAATATTTAAAATTAACAACTTTCAATGGCATAAATATTTCATTTCTTCAATTTGCATTCATTTTAAGTTCAATGATCTTCAATCAAATGTTTTGTAGTATTGAAGTGCCAAGTGATTTGCATGCATTACGCGCCTTTCGTTTTTATTATTACCGATTCTGACGGCTGATTGTGTTAAATAAAAATGAGAGAAATAATTTTTCTCTTCAGTTTGAAATAGTCTCATCTACATCATTGAAGTGTACATTTGAAAATATTTTTGCTTGTTTATTATTGAAAATTTATAAAATTTATTTTGATGTCTTCGAACTTAGTAAAATCAGATTCAAGGAATGTTTGGCTTCGATCATGTGAACATGAAATTATTGAGCCCATTGAAGGCGTTGTAAGTGGAGAAATTCCGTCATGGATTAATGGAAGTTTATTAAGAAACGGCCCAGGAAGTATAAAAGTTGGTGACATGATTTTCAATCATTTATTCGATGCTTCAGCTTTGCTTCATCGATTCAACATCGCGGATGGAAAAGTCACATATCAATGCAGGTTTCTCAAAAGTGAAACGTACAAGAAGAATCTTGCAGCTAATCGAATTGTTGTGTCTGAGTTTGGAACTTCTTCAGCACCAGATCCATGTCAAAGCATTTTTCAAAAAATCTCAGCGATATTTCATCCAAGCGATAATGCTTCAGATAATGCTTTAGTTTCAATTTATCCAATTAATGACAAGTTTTACACGTTTGTAGAGTTTCCGGTTATTCATCAAATCAATCCCACAACATTGGAAACGGAAAATACTGTGAAAGTATTAAAATATGTCAAAGGTTTAGTCTATCATACATCTCATCCACATGTCATGCCTGATGGAACAGTTTTCAACCTTGGACTTTCAGTTTCATTAACTGGGCCAAAATATAAAATTTTTAGTTTAAAAAAGGGTGAAAAATGTTTTGAGAATGCAGAAATTGTTGCTGAAGTTCCAGTTCGATGGAAGTTCAACCCTGGTTACATGCACACATTTGGAGTAACTGAAAACTTCTTCATTGTTGTCGAACAGCCTTTAACAATTTCTGTTGCTGTTAAACTTAAAAAAAATTTCAAAAAGACGACAGTTTCCGAATTGATGAAGTGGTCACCAAAAGAAAATTGTCGATTTTGTGTAGTTAACAGACAAACAGGAAAAGTTGAGTACGAATTTGAATCCGAAGCTTTCACCTATTTCCACATCATCAACCAATATGAAAAAGATAATCACATTGTCATCGATATTTGCTGCTTATCTGATGCCTCTGTGTTGAACAAATTGTATTTAGAGAGCATTAAAAAATTGGAAAAGGAATCTGACTTGCTTAAAATAACTTTAGCAAAACCATTTCGATTTGTCTTACCTTTGTGTAATGTGAAAATTTTATCATGTAAAGAAAACGAAAATCTCGTAACGTTGCCGAACACAAAAGCTTCAGCTTATGTAAAGTCGTCGAATGGAATGATTTTCTGTGTTCCTGAACTTTTAAGTGACTCAAGATGTGAACTTCCAAGAATAAATTATGAGAACTATTTAGGCAAAGAATATAAATTCGTGTATGGAGTCAGTTTCGAGAAAGATAATTCAAATTCACTGATCAAAATTGATGTCGTCAATAAAACTTCAACCTTATGGACTGAATCCAACTGTTATCCAAGCGAACCAATTTTTGTTCCGTCGCCAAACTCTAAATCTGAAGATGATGGAATTGTACTTGCTGCATTATTATGGGGTGGAAATGACGAAAAGCGCGTTGGTTTACTCGTCTTGAATGCTGTCACAATGAAGGAATTGGGACGATGTGAATTCAGCAACCTTCCGTCTCCTGCTCCCAAATGTTTTCATGGATGGTTTGCGAACTCAGTTTAACTGATGGTTGGCTATTTGTTTAAATTTATGTTTTTCTATTTGTTATTGTAATACAGTGGAATTTCTTTATAAGAATTCTCCTTATAAGTAAAAAGCTCTTTATAAGCCACACACTCATATTAAGAAGTAATGTTAAAAAAAGTTCTTTATAGGAAGAAGCTCTTTATAGGAGACTCCTTTCAAAATTCTTATAAAGAAAGTTCACTGTATTATNTTGGCTTCGATCATGTGAACACGAAATTATTGAGCCCATTGAAGGCGTTGTAAGTGGAGAAATTCCGTCATGGATTAATGGAAGTTTATTAAGAAACGGCCCAGGAAGTATAAAAGTTGGTGACATGATTTTCAATCATTTATTCGATGCTTCAGCTTTGCTTCATCGATTCAACATCGTGGGTGGGAAAGTCACATATCAATGCAGGTTCCTTAAAAGTGAAACATACAAGAAGAATCTTGCAGCTAATCGAATTGTTGTGTCTGAGTTTGGAACTTCTTCAGCACCAGATCCATGTCAAAGCATTTTTCAAAAAATCTCAGCGATATTTCATCCAAGCGATAATGCTTCAGATAATGCTTTAGTTTCAATTTATCCAATTAATGACAAGTTTTACACGTTTGTAGAGTTTCCGGTTATTCATCAAATCAATCCCACAACATTGGAAACGGAAAATACTGTGAAAGTATTAAAATATGTCAAAGGTTTAGTCTATCATACATCTCATCCACATGTCATGCCTGATGGAACAGTTTTCAACCTTGGACTTTCAGTTTCATTAACTGGGCCAAAATATAAAATTTTTAGTTTAAAAAAGGGTGAAAAATGTTTTGAGAATGCAGAAATTGTTGCTGAAGTTCCAGTTCGATGGAAGTTCAACCCTGGCTACATGCACACATTTGGAGTAACTGAAAACTTCTTCATTGTTGTCGAGCAACCTTTAAAAATGTCTGTTGCTGTTAAAATTAAAACAGCTTTCACAAAGGCAACAGTTTGTGAATTGATGAAGTGGTCACCAAAAGAAAATTGTCGATTTTGTGTAGTGAACAGAACTACAGGAAAAGTTGAGTACGAATTTGAATCAGAAGCTTTCCCCTATTTCCACATCATCAACCAGTACGAAAAAGATAATCACATTGTCATCGATATTTGCTGCTTATCTGATTCCTCTGTGTTGAACCAACTGTATTTAGAGAGCATTAAAGAATTGGAAAAGGAATCTGACTTGCTTAAAATAACTTTAGCAAAACCTTTTCGATTTGTCTTGCCTTTGTGTAATGTGAAAAGTTTGACATGTTCAGAAAACGAAAATCTCGTAACGTTGCCGAACACAAAAGCTTCAGCTTATCTGAAGTTGTCGAATGGAAATGTCTTCTGTGTCCCAGAACTTTTAAGTGAGTCAAGGTGTGAACTTCCAAGAATAAATTATGAGAACTATTTAGGCAAAGAATACAAATTCGTGTATGGGGTCAGTTTCGAGAAGGATAATTCAAATTCACTGATCAAGATTGATGTCGTCAATAAAACTTCAATCTTATGGACTGAATCCAACTGTTATCCAAGTGAACCAATTTTTGTTCCGTCACCCAACGCTAAATCTGAAGATGATGGAATTTTACTTGCTGCATTATTATGGGGTGGAAATGACGAAAAGCGCGTTGGTTTACTCGTCTTGAATGCTGTCACAATGAAGGAATTGGGACGATGTGAATTCAGCAACCTTCCGTCTCCTGCTCCCAAATGTTTTCATGGATGGTTTGCGAACTCAGTTTAACTGATGGTTGGCTATTTGTTTAAATTTATGTTTTTCTATTTCTTATTGTAATACAGTAGACTTTCTTTATAAGAATTCTCCTTATAAGTAAAAAGCTCTTTATAAGCCACACACTCATATTAAGAAGTAATGTTAAAAAAAGTTCTNGAGCATATGATTGTAGTTCATGCGTCAGTAACGTAACAATATTTAAAATTAACAACTTTCAATGGCATAAATATTTCATTTCTTCAATTTGCATTCATTTTAAGTTCAATGATCTTCAATCAAATGTTTTGTAGTATTGAAGTGCCAAGTGATTTGCATGCATTACGCGCCTTTCGTTTTTATTATTACCGATTCTGACGGCTGATTGTGTTAAATAAAAATGAGAGAAATAATTTTTCTCTTCAGTTTGAAATAGTCTCATCTACATCATTGAAGTGTACATTTGAAAATATTTTTGCTTGTTTATTATTGAAAATTTATAAAATTTATTTTGATGTCTTCGAACTTAGTAAAATCAGATTCAAGGAATGTTTGGCTTCGATCATGTGAACATGAAATTATTGAGCCCATTGAAGGCGTTGTAAGTGGAGAAATTCCGTCATGGATTAATGGAAGTTTATTAAGAAACGGCCCAGGAAGTATAAAAGTTGGTGACATGATTTTCAATCATTTATTCGATGCTTCAGCTTTGCTTCATCGATTCAACATCGCGGATGGAAAAGTCACATATCAATGCAGGTTTCTCAAAAGTGAAACGTACAAGAAGAATCTTGCAGCTAATCGAATTGTTGTGTCTGAGTTTGGAACTTCTTCAGCACCAGATCCATGTCAAAGCATTTTTCAAAAAATCTCAGCGATATTTCATCCAAGCGATAATGCTTCAGATAATGCTTTAGTTTCAATTTATCCAATTAATGACAAGTTTTACACGTTTGTAGAGTTTCCGGTTATTCATCAAATCAATCCCACAACATTGGAAACGGAAAATACTGTGAAAGTATTAAAATATGTCAAAGGTTTAGTCTATCATACATCTCATCCACATGTCATGCCTGATGGAACAGTTTTCAACCTAGGACTTTCAGTTTCATTAACTGGGCCAAAATATAAAATTTTCGGTTTAAAAACAGGTGAAAAATGTTTTGAGAATGCACAAATTGTTGCTGAAGTTCCAGTTCGATGGAAGTTCAACCCTGGTTACATGCACACATTTGGAGTAACTGAAAACTTCTTCATTGTTGTCGAACAACCTTTAACAATTTCTGTTGCTATTAAACTTAAAAAATTTTTCAAAAAGACGACAGTTTCCGAATTGATGAAGTGGTCACCAAAAGAAAATTGTCGATTTTGTGTAGTTAACAGACAAACAGGAAAAGTTGAGTACGAATTTGAATCCGAAGCTTTCACCTATTTCCACATCATCAACCAATATGAAAAAGATAATCACATTGTCATCGATATTTGCTGCTTATCTGATGCCTCTGTGTTGAACAAATTGTATTTAGAGAGCATTAAAGAATTGGAAAAGGAATCTGACTTGCTTAAAATAACTTTAGCAAAACCTTTTCGATTTGTCTTGCCTTTGTGTAATGTGAAAAGTTTGACATGTTCAGAAAACGAAAATCTCGTAACGTTGCCGAACACAAAAGCTTCAGCTTATCTGAAGTTGTCGAATGGAAATGTCTTCTGTGTCCCAGAACTTTTAAGTGAGTCAAGGTGTGAACTTCCAAGAATAAATTATGAGAACTATTTAGGCAGAGAATACAAATTCGTGTATGGGGTCAGTTTCGAGAAGGATAATTCAAATTCACTGATCAAGATTGATGTCGTCAATAAAACTTCAATCTTATGGACTGAATCCAACTGTTATCCAAGTGAACCAATTTTTGTTCCGTCACCCAACGCTAAATCTGAAGATGATGGAATTTTACTTGCTGCATTATTATGGGGTGGAAATGACGAAAAGCGCGTTGGTTTACTCGTCTTGAATGCTGTCACAATGAAGGAATTGGGACGATGTGAATTCAGCAACCTTCCGTCTCCTGCTCCCAAATGTTTTCATGGATGGTTTGCGAACTCAGTTTAACTGATGGTTGGCTATTTGTTTAAATTTATGTTTTTCTATTTCTTATTGTAATACAGTAGACTTTCTTTATAAGAATTCTCCTTATAAGTAAAAAGCTCTTTATAAGCCACACACTCATATTAAGAAGTAATGTTAAAAAAAGTTCTTTATAGGAAGAAGCTCTTTATAGGAGACTTTCTTCAAAATTCTTATAAAGAAAGTTCACTGTATTATATTTGTAATAAGAATAATAAAAGTTCAAATTATTTTTTTAATATTTTTCTTGTTTAACACGTCAACTTATTTCTTATAAGATGTAAATTCATAGTCAAGCTTGCTTAATGATTTCCATAATTTCCCTTTAAAAGCAGTAATTGTCACGCATGAGTCATGACACATCATAATTTCCTGTCGATACAATGTTGAACTTTGTCAATCTCATTCATCGTGTTTCATAAATAAATAGAACATCAAACCAACTATCAATTTCTACTTAATAAGTGTTTAATTTAATGCTGATTTGATATTTTCTTATTTATCATTAGGAAGCAAAAATAATAATCATAAACATCTAAATTATTCACAGAATGTGTCACGTTCAGTCACTGAAATCAAACTGAAGCTGAAAATATTTTAGTTTATTTCCAGCAGTTCTGCTCACGGAAGTTTTTTTACAGATATTTTAAGAGCTTATTTATTCAAATATTGAACAAGATTCTTAAGTATAAAAAAACTAAAACGCTCACTTAAATAGTTGTAAAATTAATAAAAACAGGTTTTGTCTCAGTTGTTGTCATCAATTCTTACAAAAGACACAGAAATTAAATCATGAAAATGTTTTCGAAGTGTTTATCAATGTTAATCTTTTTAACTTTCGTGAAGTTGATTGCAGCAACATCATTGTTTAGAGATGAGTTAAGTGAGTATGATCTACATGAAAGGAAATTTCTTTTCTCAAACTTCTAATTATTAATTACGTCAGCTTATCAAGAAGTCCGAAATAATATTTTTGCTGCGGAAGAATCCATGAGAACCGGTGGGAATGTTTACTTGAATCCAAAAGAAACTAAAGCTGATGCGATATTATTGAAATTAAAAAATGAAACGATAAGACGTGGAATTTTTGAATCTCGAAGTTATTTACCATCAATGCACTTTTTCAAAGCGAAATCATTGATTGAACAAGATCCAATATTCGACATTCTTAAAAAAGCTCCAAAAGGTGGAGTTCTTCATCTTCACAACTCAGCAGCAGTAAGCAGTGAATGGGTGATCAAGAATCTGACTTACAGAGATGATATGAGATTATGCACCACAAAAGATGGTCTGAAGATATTTAATGTTATGTATGATGCCTTCAATTTACACTTTATTTATTATTTGCATTTAAAAATCAATAATTTTTACAGAGATCTTCATAAACTATGTGCAGATGAACCAGTTTCAATATCAGCAACTCGAACAAAGGCTGAAAACATTGAAGAATTTGATAAGAACTTGGAAAAGTTGATTAATTTATATACAACTCAGCCTGAAGTTGATTACCCTGATGGTGATAATTTTAATGATTAAAATCATTTTTATAGGTCAAAAGCATCACATAAAATTGCAATCTATTCTATATTGCAGCAAATGCCGTTTGGACACGTTTTCAGAATATGTTCACAACAATTCGAGGTATTTTAGATTATGCGCCAACCTACAAAGCTTTTCACTGGAGACTTCTTGAAGAACATTACGAAGACAACGTTATGTATGTTGAGTTAAGAGCTTCTTTATGTCCAGTAAATTGCCTTAAAATTTTTCAATTCTTTCTCAGAAAAAGGAAAATTTAATTTCAGATTGTCGATGAAAATGGGAAAACATTGAATAGTGAAGATGTTGTTGAAATTCTTTTTGGAATCGTTGAAGGCTTTAAAAAGCAACATGAAAACTTCCTTGGAATGAAAATCATTCAAGCAATTCACAGAAGTTTTAACAGATCAAAAATTGAAGAAAAAATGGACAAATTTGTGGAGTTGCAGAGAAAGTTTCCAAATTTCATAATCGGATTCGACTTAGTTGGTCAAGAAGATCTCGGCGTACCTTTGATCAGCTTCATAGAGAAACTTAAAGACATTTCCCAGAATGGCCGCTTCTTCTTCCATGCTGGTGAAACAAATTTCTTCAATACCGAAGCAGATGTCAACATTTTAGATGCAATTTTGATGAACACAAAGAGAATTGGACATGGATTCAGTCTTTTTAAGCATCCAGTGTTATGGTCTGCAATTAAAGAGAAAGAAATTGCTGTTGAAATTAATCCAATTTCAAATCAAGTTCTTCATCTTGTTCAGGATTTAAGAAATCATCCGGCAAGTTTTTATGTCTCTGAAAATATTCCAATCGTTGTAAGTTTTTACTTTTTTTATCGTAAATATCTGAAAAATTTATTAAATTCTCATCAGATTGGAAATGACGATCCAGGCTTTTGGAATGCAAAGGGAGTGAGCTTCGATTATTATTACGCATTCATGGACTTCACTCCAGCTGACGAAGGTCTGCAAGTCTTAAAACAATTGGCTTGGAATTCATTAAAATATTCAGCAATGACACCAAAGGAAAAGAAAAACGCTGCTGTTGTGTTTAAAGCTGAATTTGATGATTTTGTCGATTATATTTTAACAAAAGAATAATTTAATTTCAGAGTGTTTATGTGGGTTTGAATGTCTGAAATTTTAAACAAATATTAACACTCACAAGTAGAGATTTTGAATAATTAGCAGCATTTAACACTTGAAATTAATTTATTTAAAGGAAGCTAAAATAAAATTTTATTTGTGTTCTAACTGACAACTGTGACTAATAAAAAACTTAATTATTGTTCATCAAATGTCGATTTGATTTCTTTTATTAAAATTCTCTTCAACTTACATAAAATCACCTCAAGGAATTTACACCAAATCTTTGTAGTTAATTTTAATGTTGATGTTCATTGCGCAAAGTTGAGAAACAAGAAGTTTGAAGATGTAAGGAATTTCAACAATGTCAATCATGTCGTTTCTTTTGCATAAGCCGCAAGTCTCGCGATATCTCACCATACTACTTTTATCACTCTTCTTCTTTGAGACTCTGTCCATTGGTGTCACTAAACTGTCGCAATGTCTACAAATCAAAGTCACAGTTTTGTCCGAGCAATGCAGCAATCGATCTTGTAACAAAAACGAAGCTCCATGAGCTATCAAAGCATCACGTTCCATCTCACCAAAACGAACGCCACCACCTCGTTTTCTTCCTTTGATTGGTTGATGAGTAATTGTGTCGATTGGTCCCGTTGATCGAACCTTTAAAATATAGAAAAAAAATCAAATTATTCATTAAAATAAGTGAAAAGGGTGAATGTCCATTTCGAAGTGTTCAAAAACGGTCAACCACCATACTTAGGTTTCTTTACCTGCCACTTATCTGACACCATATGACGAAGTCTTTGATAATGTACAACGCCAAAGAAAATCTCAGCTTTCAACTCACGTCCATCAACGCCACTGTACAACCGTTCAGTGCCAAAGTAACTGTAACCAGCTTTCATCAAAAGTTCCCCAAAATGATTTATCGCAGTATTTTCTTCATTAAATTTAAATGGCGTTGCATCATGAACTAAACCATGAACAGCCGCACTTTTACCAGCCATTGTTTCAATCATCATAGCAATTGTCATACGTGATGGAAAGCCATGGGGATTGAAGATGATGTCGGGAATTAATCCACTTTCAGTGAACGGTAAATCTTCAGCGGGATATTTTTGTGAACAAATTCCTTTCTGTCCAGCTCTTGACGCAAATTTATCACCAACTGTAGGATTTCGTGGGATTCTTGTTGTGATGCAAGCTTTCTTAGGTGCATAAGCATTGTTACTGTCACCAAGCAGCTTTACATTATCCACGATGACCATTTCCTTTCCTTTATGTTTGTGCACAATAAACATCGACTCATTAGCGTCATAATGACAACAAATCGGATCACCTGATTCAATCTTTTGCCCTGGATGTGGAAATCCATCACTATCCAAATATTTCACTAAATCCTGATTCTTTGGATCACGAGCAAAGTAACTTTCAGCTTCCAATTCAAAAAATTCTGAATGATAAATCGAACCGTGTGCGAATCCACGTTCATATGCTGATTTATTAAGAATCATTGCATCTTCCATGTCGTAACCAGTGTATGAAATGACAGCGACAATCGCATTTGTACCCATCGCAAAATCATCAAGTTCAATGTTGTCATGATGAACTGGTCGAAAAAGTGGCGTTGCTGGTGTTTGAAGTCGATAAAGTTTCGTTGCTGCTTGTGTAAACCAATTGTGACAAGGCGTTCCCATTGTCTGCTTTCCCATTTGGCATTGATACATGTTACGTGGTGATTGATTGTTGTCAGGCATTGGAATTAAGTTCGCTAAATTCGACATGAATGACAATTGTGAAAGCTCCAAATGTGTCGTCACTCCGGGATAAATTTCTTCTTTCTTTATAGCAACATCAAGATAAACTTGTTCAAACGTTCCAATCATTTCTATTTTATTTAATTTCAAATTCATAACTGGACGCATCATTCTTGCTGCACCAATGAAGAGAAATAATCCGGGAAATTGTCCGTTTTCCTTCTTTGGCACGAGCGCAATTTCCATTGTGTTTGGAATTCGTTTCCCATCAACTTTCAAAGCTCTCAAACGATCAGTGAATGTTTTTGCGATGTTATCATTCACATATCCAACGACACAACCTTCTAAGAGAATTGTGTAATAATTTGAAGCATCTGTTAATAATTCCGAATCAATTGGCTCCATTCCAATTTCAGTTAAAACATTTGGAATTTCTTTCAGATTCATTCGATGGTAAATGTCTTTGGAAGCGACACAATCAACAGTGAGATGATTTAATAGACCGCAAGGTGCACCATCAGGTGTATGAACAGGACAAATGAAACCCCAAGCGTCAGGAAGAAGTTGACGAGCGTCTGTCGTTCTCATTTCAACAAAATACGATCCACGATGAACAGCACGAAAGTGACTCATGTAACGCATTCTGTTGATGTTCTCAGCGACAATCACAAGTCCAGAATTCTGCATAAGTCCCAAGCCTGTTTTACTCATTAAATTACCAGTTGCAAGGAAATATTCCATCGTTCTGTGAATATTTCCGCAATATTTTCCAGCAGTTTGTACATCAACCGACTTTATTTGTGCTGATGAAGTGTTCTGCACTTTCTTATTTAGATTGAACTTCAAATTGTACATCCAATTCTCGAGAAACTCCTTGAAAATCTTTTGATATAAATGACCTCCAAGTAGAAGTTCCTGCATCATCACACTGTCAGCTGACTCGTGTCGATATTTGCCTTGAACAATTTGAAATAACTTTTGAACCATAAACACAATCAAATTGTATTTATCGAATGGATTGTCAAGGTGAATTAAGATTGTCTTTTTTATGAGATATTCGCCAACTTCTTCGTTTGTGCTCCATGGTGACAGTTTTTCGAATCGTGAACGAAATATTTGTCCGAGATAATTCTTGCAATCGTAGTGAGTGTGAATGTTTTCCTTGTGAAGTTCCGTCAACATGTTTTGGACACATGACTTAAAATAAAGATCATTTTCATATCCTCTCATCAGGTCATTGAAGATCTTCTCATCGGTATAACTCATTAAGCTTTTGAGTAAAAGCATTACGGGAAGATACGATAAAATCTTTTTATGACTGAACATCATTTTTGCTGTGCCATTATTAAGAAAGTGAAGAACGTTGTTAGTTGATGTATGATCCAGGCTTGTTGTTCTTATAAGGATTCCATATTCGCTGAAGAATTTACCTCGATTCACCCAAGTGCTTCGTTTAAGAGAGAGCGGATAATTTCTTCTCGTCATCAGAAACATTCGAATTAACTTTTCATTGCCTTTTACTACAAAATATCCGCCCCAATCTGATTCATGTTCATGTTTTTCAACCATTTCTTTTGGTGTGAGTTTGTTGAGGTTACAGGCGAGTGACTAAAATTAAATTTATTTAGTTGTTGTTTCTTTAATTTTTATTTTACTTACTCGAATCATAATTGGAGCTTGGCCCAAGTCAAAGTCAAGTGTGCCTTGATTTACATCATTTTTTGTCCATGCAAGTGTCATTAAACAATTACCACCATAAGTAACAGCTCTTTGTCTTGCTTCAGCTGGGAAGAATCTTCGTTCCTTTACATCAATTTGTTGATTTATTTGTGGTTTTGCAATGGAACAATTTTCGATCCGGATCTTGATTTTTTCTCCATTTGAGAGTTCAAACTCAAAGGGATCGATATTAGCAATAACAGTTTGTATTCCTTCGGAAAGGAAGTGATCAAACGATGAAATGTGAGGTGCACCAAGAGTTTCAAGAATCTTAAAGAAAAAATGTTGAAAACTTAAAAAAACATTTGATTTAACATATGACTTCAACTTACTTTGTTTCTTTCTTTTTTAAAATCATAAAATTCAGGTTTAGTATTCGTTAAAACGGGATGTTTAAGCATTTTTGTCAAGAAAATATTTTCAAATGTGATTTTTAATTTTTCGCGTGTTTACGATTTTATGATCAGCTGATTTAACCTCAAAATAAAGTTTGAAGTTCTTACCAAACCCTGACATATACAAATCTAGAGGCCAGCAAACTTTTGATTAATTAATTATGCAGAGTATTTTCCTCATACTGAATACAATAAAAAAATTATCAATAATTAAAAACAATGGAAATATTTATTTTTCCTTAAATGAGCTATAAATACAATTTCTTTTCTCTGACGTCGTAAAAAAATTTCTCACGCGGAAGCTTCAGATTCTGCATTATTCCTTGCGTTATAAATTAATACTTTCATCCTTTTGTTTCTGATGGACACCTTATGACCTTCGATTGATATTGTCTTTGAGATAAATCTTTCTTTTCCATTTCACAATCATTCATAACAAGTTGGAACCGCTTTTAGCACTTTAAATCATGCATTAATTATTAATCGAACGTTTCCAAGGTTGTTCGTCACTCGTTTATGATTCCATAGCTGTCAATATGTATATAATGGGTTTCGTACAAATAATTTTCTTAAAAATGAAGTATTTTTAGAACCTATGGATGACTCGACTTGATGAATTCTTTTGAAAGTTTGATTAAATGATGATGACGATGAGTATGACATGCAACAATGTGAAGAATATGTACAAAAACGTCAAATTTCTACTCAGTATCACCACCAACGCATCTCCTTTTATAATCGCTGAAGAAATATTTGTTATTCTCTTTTGAAATCTTCACGGCTTGCATCGTGTTGCTAAAAATGAAGAAATAACAAAATGAATAAATTGAAATAATAATTAATGGAAAGATCTTATCTACCTTGTCTTTTTAAGAGTAATGCATCCATTTTCTGTATGAACATTGAGAGAATACAATTTAGCCAGTTCCAAAATCTTGTCGTGTTCTTGAATGTCAAAAATTTTTAAAAGTTTTTGTTGCTCATCTTGTAGAAATCTATTCAATAATTTGTAAATTAAAAAAGGATAAGGATAATTTATTTGATGTTAATTACTTTAAAAGATCTTCATTGAAGCTTGATATGATGGAAAATCCGGGCCTTTCTTCTCTTATCCTTCGACACCCAGCACGAATTTCTCGAATTTCGCTTATCCCAAATGTGTTTGGAAAATGATTTGAAGTTTCGCCAGACATTTCACTTTCAATCGGCTTTTTGTTGTTGCATGACATCGCCAAACTACTTCCATATCCACCATCAGCAACCACCCCACTTGTACTACTCCCATCTGCCATGAAATTATCATTAATAGCTCCAACAATATTAATCGGATGTGATGCTTGTGACTTCATTAATGGCACGTTATTATATTTCGGCACTCTCGTGTCTGTCAATTGCTGTTGCTGATTTTGTGGATTTGTAGTGTTCATTTGAATCGTCATATTCTCTATTGTAGGCACCTGAATCTCATCAGCAGACATCAATGTATCATCATCTTGAATAATATCATCTTGTTTGATTTGTGATAATTTTGTGGATTTTTTATAAGCACGTTTGAACTCATTCTTTGAAGCAAAGTTTACCATTGCTTCGTTATGACCTGGCCAGTCTGTTAACTCGTCATCACCTTCATGATCGCTTTCATTTGTTTCTTCTGTTTCACTATCACTGCTACTCAAAGAACTTGAGCTTAAGAAGTCGTTGATATTTCCACAATCCATAAAATGCTGATCATCAAATTGAAGTTTAAGTTTTCTTTTTTGTTTGTTCCTTCTGTCTGCTTGATGATTTCCCATGTGTCGCATTTTCTTCTTATGCTCAACTTTACTGAAGCTAAAACTGTTTGTTAAAGCCGATTCAAAGCTATCAGATTTGTGAGCCATTTTTGCTTGTAATGCGCTGTTTGTCTCATTCACTTCTCGAATAATTGACGATGCAACTTCGTTACTTGGTGGACTTTTAAAAGTTTCAAAAATCGCAACACTTTCACTACCAGAGGCAAATGATGGCGTAAAATGAACAATTGGTGTCGTAGTACTTCCCATTTTGAAACTGTTAGCCGATGTCACAGATTTCAATGAATTGAAACTAAAGTTTAACTTATTTTGTGAATCTTGTGAGATTTTTTCAATTTTTGACACAATACAATTGTTCAATGGCAAAATCTTTTCCACGGCTGACGATCTTGCAGTAGACATCGATGAAGCTCGATTACGGCTTTTGTATTCCGAGTAAGAAATTCCTCCGTCTTTTTGTGAAAAGAAGCCGCCTCTTTGTCGAGGAACACTGCTTGAATGTTTATAAGACTCATAATCTGCATGACGTTCACGATGTGGTCGTTTTCTCTTGCCGAAGAATAAATTTGCTCGGAAATTTTCCTGATTATGTTTCAGAACTCTTTTCTTCACGACACCACTGACAGGAAATATTGGATGGATTGTTGTGTGTGGAGTTGATGGTGTAGTTTCATATTCGACTGCCATTCGTTTGAATTTTCTCTTTCGTCGAATATTTGGCTTTGAAGGGCTGAAATTTTCATTGAGGGAATCAGACTCAAAGTTGCCACTCATTGGTGTTTGTCGTAATTTAAATGCAAGGGCATAAGATTGCCGATCATCTGAGTCACTCAGCATAGAGTTGCTGTTTCCTGGTGCAATGCTGTCGTTGTTATTTGTGTCATTTAAAGGATCATTCGGATCTGTGCTTGAACTGTCCTCAGTTGGTTGCGGCGGACATGCTGCAATTATCAAATTACATTTAATATGGAATTATAAATAAAGATAAGCATGTGACAATCTCTTACGTAAATTTCCGGTTGATCTTGTTCGTCTACGTATTCCCCATCGGCTTCCTGCGCCTCCCCTTGAGGTTTCTTCCAAAGCAAGAGTTAAATCGTGGGAAAATTGATCGAAACTTAAATTTTTATCAACTTGCATAGCTAATCTCTTCTTTGCTGCTTTTTATATAATTTCTTAAATAGACGATGAATAGAAAAGCATTCCTAATACGACGAATGAAATAATAAAAGAGCAATTATAACTTAAAAATTCCAAAAAACCAATATTTTCATATTTATCCATGTTTTGTCGGAAAACCTGGATATAAATGATTATTTCAATGTTGACAACAGTTGTCTAACTTAAATATATGTCATAAAGATCAAATCTTTACACAAATTTTAAAGAAATTTATGAAACTTCGTCTCAAAATTTTTCCTTGTAAATTGGATTGAAAAAATTATCTAATGGATGGCAGCAATCGCCATTCAGGACTCCAACCAGCTTTAACAGCTACAAAGCTTGTAAAGATTTTCTGGTTTTATGATAAATCAATTGTGGTTCTGTTCTATGAATAAACCAAGTTTTCCAAAAGTTTTTTTAAGATTTTTTATCACCTTGAGTTCAAATTGCTCACGTCTTATCTTTTTGAACCGAGTTCACTCGATAAATGTTGTTTCTCATATATTATATACTATTGCAAAACGCCTTTTGTTTGGTTTTTCAATTAAACTTTAAATTAGAACGGAAAGTTATACATCAAAATCTAAAAATTATGATATTTTTTATGATAAATTTTTTTCAATTTGATTCATTTTCTCAACGTTTCAATGTAAAATGGTTTTATAGTAAAGCAAACGATAAGACTGGCGTAATGACAATGTTTTCATACAACTCCATGCGCGTTTGAGAAATTTTACAACTTGCGAGTAAAATGTTTCATTTTCTGAAAGGTTTCTTATTGCACAAAGCCTAATCTGGAACATAATGGAAATCGATAACGTTTTTCTTGAAAGGAAAACTTGATCGGTCATATCAACAATTCCATAATTTTATTTCATTGCTAATTAAATTAAAAAATGAAAACATGAATAAAGCTGAATATACCTACTCATATAGAGGAACATAAATTTTATCGATGATGATGACAGAATCAATTGCATTAATATAAAACGACATTTTACGACTTTATTTATGTGCACAACTGCTTAACGTGAAGCATTTAGGAAGTCATTAATTTCAAATTAAATTGGTAATTGAGTCTTGAACAAACAAATTCAGAATTAAATGTCGTATTTATTATAACGACGTATTGAATATCAGAGTTGAGATTACATGAAAAATTATCAATTTTTGATAACTTCAGTCAATAATTCAGAATTTTAACTAACAAATTTAATATTTTTTATTTTAATATTTTAATGATAAATACTTTTCAGAAAATTGAGAAGTTTCTTAGACTGTTAATAAGTTCTCATAAATAATCATTTAATTTTCAAATCACATTATCAACTTCCATAATTTTTGGTTCGAGTTTAAACGTAAATGAAATTTCAATTGGTAACTGATTTTAACAATAGCAAAGTTAATCATGCCTCTTGGCTCGTTTATAATTTTGAATGTAAACAAATTGTCTTATAATTTCTGTAATTAATCAAGAACTTTGATGTGAATCATGATGGTTTGCAATAATTGTCGATTTTATTCTTCTTATGATACTTAAACTTATAAGTGAAGATGATCGTCATTTGCAAACTTTACTCATAGCAAGATTACTCATACAATCCTAAGGCAAGTTTAGAGCAAGTTTAAAGCTCACACTCCATATCTGAATGTCTCTTTTTAAAAGAGAGAAACGAGTCTCAATTCTCTTCGACTTGCGGTGTGTTAAAATTTTGTTCCCACTTTATTATTATTCTCAAGTTAAAACTTCTTCGATTCAGACGTGCTCTTAGTGTTTGATAAGATAAGAAATCAAATTATTTGAAACTTTAAACAGAAAACCTTAGAATGTGTTTGTCATTTGGTTCAGAATGATTTGAAATAAGTGTGTAAATAAGTTGATCACGTTACAAAAAACGTTTTAGTTTAGATATTGTGAAAAGTGAGTCTGTGACAACAATCATCACTTTATCATATCATTTCACCATAAAAATACTTAAATGATATTAGCAAACTTTGCCAATGAATTGTGATTTATGATTATTTACTTGTCAAGTAAACAAACGAGGTAAAGCAATGTGAAGAAATTTTTGTGTGACTGACTGCATAGTAATAAAAAAGTGCAGTTCATTTATAACATAAAACAATTGACGCCCAAAAAAGAAAACTGCTTAGTCCAAGTTATTTCTTTTTTTTAATTGAAATTAATGGGAGTCAATTTTAAGTATCAAAAGTCAAAATGATGATATGATCAGTCAATTAAAGACAAGTCAAATATACTCATGTGAATGAATGCGTAGATAGTCTGGAAAATTCAATTAAAACTTCTTTAAGCTTTGATGTTTTTAAATACCGGGAAACATGATATTGTAATCGAGTTGAACAACAATTTGAATCTATGAAGATATTTGTGTTTCATTCTTATTAGTATTTAAAGATAAGAAATCGATATTCGTGAAAATTTCAATCAAAGACATTAACAGGATAGAAACCTGTTGAAATGTCAATAATGTTATCTAACAAGAATGTTTACATTCATCGAAGTGTGGCAACTTTAAGGTGTTTTATCAACAATTAATGTTCACTTTGTTAGTCATAGAGAGTTTCGGAGAATACGTTTGTGTTTCCATGAAAAGACTTTAATGCGCCAATTTTACATCTCGTTGTGTTATTCATTCATCAGCGATCTTACAATATTTTTATACGTGAATAGTATGAGTCATTTGTCTTGAATATAAATAAGTTGTTGCTGTTTCAACACACTTCGATTGAAAAGAAACCTCCTGCCCATTAACGAAAAAATAAATTTAATCAAACATTTATTGCTCAACGAATTTTAAATAATAATAGATATCTAAACATGTCAAGTTACAATACAAACAAACTCACAATAATAGCAAGTAAGTCATCACATAATTGCTTTCTCAATCAACAGATAGAATAACTCCCTCAGCAAAATGAATTTATATCGAGAGAACAACACATTTTCTTACGATGGAATATATCAACCCAAAGATCAAAACGTAGTCACATCAAGAATTGATTCATTTTCAACAGAATTCGGTGAACCCGAGGATTTAAGTAGGTAAGACTAACTCGATAATCTCTTAAATCCGTAAAAGAAGAGTTTGAAGTTAAATTCTTTTTCTGTTGCAGATTCTCAAGACCTTTGTTGACATTTGCAGCAACGTTAACAATAATTGTTATGATCATTGGAATATTCGGGAATACTTTAACAATAATAGCCTTGAAAAGATGTCCAAAAGTTCGTAATGTCGCTTCTGATTTTATAATCAGGTAAAATAAGATTCAACATTATTTGAATATAAATGAAGTCAACTTTTGTTGTTTATTTCTTTTTTTCTCATATAAACAGTCTTTGTACAGCAGATTGTTTATTTTGTGTTCTGGTGCTACCGTTTATGGCCACCCGTTATATTCAAGGCGCATGGACACATGGTGAAGGGTTTCTTTGTACTATTGTGCCTTTCATTCAGTATGGAAATGTTGGAGTTTCTCTTTTGTGCATTGCAATGATCACCATCAACAGGTAAGAAAATATTTGCTTTCTTCTGTTTTCTTAACAACTTATGATTCATAATCATTTCTACGTAACAGATACATCATGATTACACATCACAGTGTTTATAATAGAATATACAGAAGGATATGGATATATACAATGATCGGATTCTGTTGGGTATTTTCTTACGGATTTCAAATTCCAACATTATTAAAAGTTTGGGGTAAGGAAGATTTGAAAAATTTTGTTGATTACTCAATGAAATTCTTTGATGATTGCAGGCAAGTTCGGTTATGATCCTAAACTTGAAACTTGTTCCATTCTTCCGGATGTATATGGAAGAAGTAGTAAAACCGCTCTTTTCATCATCGCTTTTGTTATTCCTTGCATAATCATCATTGTCTGCTACACTCGCATATTTTGGGTCGTTCACAAGTAATTAATTTTTATTCTTGTTTAATTAAAAGAATTCTTGACTGAAACATAAATTCAATTTCAATTTAGATCAGAAGATCGAATGCGAAAACATGCATCACAAACTTCCATTCCAAGCAATCAAGTGAATGCCGTCGCGCCTTCAACAAATATTTTGAGTGATAACACAATTGAATTAGCTTCGAGAAGTGAACTACCAACATCGGTTAAAAAACTTAAAGATCAACGAGAAGCAAAACAGAAACGAAATGAATGGCGAATAACAAAAATGGTTCTTGCAATTTTTCTGACATTCTTAGCTTGTTATCTGCCAATAACAATCACGAAAGTGTTAGATAAGGATGTAAACTACCCAGGATTGCATATTTTTGGATACATTATGCTTTACACAAGTGCTTGTGCCAATCCAATAATTTACGTGATCATGAACAAACAATATCGTCAAGCATACAAAACTGTTCTTTTATGCAAAGCACCGCACTTTTCATTCACAAATAACAACCACGGAAGTTCAATTGGTGGTAAGTTTCATACTCTAAACATTAATAAAATTTATCTAATAATAACAATTTATATTTAAAAATACAAAAAAATAATTTCGAGCAATTATAATTTATTGAGAATTTCGTAATTAAATAATTATATACAAGCAGTTCTTAACTTATTATTTTTTTTATATTTTCTATGTTTTGCTCGAAAACTTTCAACTAATATCATCATTGAAAATGTGACAATCATTGGGCAATTAACTTTAAACTAACTGCGAATGTATATGCTTGGTCATTGGTATCTTATGATTACTCTTTGTGTAAGAATATTTGAAATTTCTTTTTGTTGTATTAACTTTTAAATAATCTGACATATTTTTATTATATTTCAAAAATGGTGTAATTTGAATCCACTATCATTTAAATTAAACTCATATAGAGAAGTCCAAAAGAGAGTCCAAGAACAATTTCGACAACTGTCACAGTCTTACCATGGCGTCACAGGTATCGATAATGGAAAATTGAAGAGGTAACATTAATTTATTAATCTTTATTTACTTTTTTAATTTATTAATTTATTTTTACAGAGAAAGGCTGAATTCTGAGTAGAAACAATAACATTCCATATATTCAACTTCATCAAATCTTGGTGGTGAGAATCTAATTAATGATTATTGACATTTAAAATTTAAATGAGTTTAAAATTATTTTTATGCAGATCTCCTTAAGTTCAAGCTGCAATAAAGACAACGAAAAAGCATTTCCAAAATACCTACGTGCCTAATATTGAAGTTTCTTTCAATTTCCATTATTATTTGAATAATTATTGAAGTTAATTTTTTTAACATTAAGGGATATTTTAATTTTAATGGTAGATATATAATTTCTAAACTTGTGAAAATTATTTATTTTGGCTCATTTACAAATTGAATTCAATACCAACTGAGGTATTTATCTACAAAATTTAGAAGATATTTTAACATGTGCAAGATTCCAAAGATATTAAAATTAGGAATTTAATAATGAATTTCTTTTAAACTTGTCAATTTGTAACAATAAGTTTGAAAGCTTTTTTATTTATTCTTTTAAGAAATGTCCTTTAAAAGCCTTGATAGACTTAAACATATAAGCACAAACTTTGTTCGTATGTTTCTTGAAAAGAAAAGTGAAATAAGAAATAAAATGTGCAATGATTTTGCAGCAGATGTTGACAATGAAACTTTAAGTGTTTTATCTTTATATTTTCAGAATTGTGTATCTAATTGAGAACTTAAATAAAATCTTATTTCATTTCTGGAAATACTCAAACTGTTTCTGATAAATGTAAACAATTTCCTTTGTAAAGTAATTAAAATTTTGTAACTGTAAGGTTCAAAATTTCAAAATAGTTCAAAAATTAAAACAAATTAAAACAAAAAATCTTTGTCGAGAAAATTAAAATAAATTTGAATCAAATTAATACTTGTGATAAAACAGTTCACATCAAAACATTATGGATCACGTCTTTTTAGGAATTCACTTTGACGAAACAAAGAAATATGAAAGAATTCGTGTAGATAATGTGAATTTTAACGAAAATGTTTCTTTTTTGAAGGAAAAATTTTGCGATATCACCGGAAGAAAAGAAGATGTCTCACTAGTTTATTGCGGAAACATTTTGGAAGAGACTGAGCCAATTAATCGCTATGTACGTAATGGATCAACAATCCATATTTTGCGAAAAACCGAGGAAGATGAACACAAAGAATATAAAAAATTCAATGAAATGGACGTTTCGAGAGTTTGTTCACAATTTCGCAGTTTGAATTCAGGAAATTTTCATGTAAGTATAAACAATGAAAATTAAAATGTGTTTTTAAATGACTCATCATTTTATTTTTCTTTGTAGAAAATTTCACGTCCAGAAGTAGCGAAAATGATTTTTGACAGCCATCCAGAATTGAAAAAGGATGTGATTGCAATGTCAATCCTTAAAGATCCAATATTACTAGCCAATATGCAGAATCCTGACACAGTTCGTAATATGGCGCAACACCATCGTGTCTTGATAGAAGCTTCCGAAACAATTGTTAAAGCACTTAAATCTGCTAAAAATATCACAGAAACTCCAGTTCCTGCTCAACCGACGATTGATGACCTCTCAGATTCATCATCTTCGTCATCAGGCTCAGATAATAATTCACCTCAAGCTTCTAACTCAAATATGGTTCGTCGCATCACTCAAGAATATTTAAGACAATCTCTTGCTGCAGCTCAAGGAAGAAATTCCTTGGCGAACATTTCACAAAGAAATTTAAGTCAAGCTGGAAGTGGAAGTAATCCAATCTCACCTTCAACTTCATCAAGTTCAGTTCCATCTGGTCAACGTTTCATTTCATCCTCAATGTTTATGAATGCAATGAATGAAGTTCTCATGGCAAATCGTCGTGATTCGGGTAATGAAGCTTCAACCACAGCTTCAGACGCTCAAGTTCCACCTTCAACTGAATCTGAACCTACAGAGGAAGTAGAAAGAATGGAAGAAGATAGAATTGCTCAAGATGCTCGTGATGTGGAAATGATCACAAGCTTTCAGACACAAATTCGTCAAATGGAAGAAATGGGATTGAGAAATAAAGCAGCGAATATTCAAGCTTTGATGATTTGTGATGGAAATTTAGAAGCAGCTGTCAACATGGTTTTAGCTGAAATGAACAGCGATATGTTTTAAAGATCTTTCCATTTCAAAACTAAACTCTGTTTCTTTAGATATCTCTTTTGTATGAATAATTGTGGAAGAAAGAAAAATAAAATTGAAAACAATGCTTATCACTTTAATGCAAAACTAAATGTTTATGAGCTTTGACGCAAGCCCTGACAATGGTAAATAAAAAAAACTTCAAAACAAAATCTTTTGAATGAATTGGCTTAAAATTAATCTTGGTAAGTGTGAAAGTACTCGATCTAAATTTAATTTTTAACATTTTCCTATAAATTTAGTTCAAAACATTCGAAAAATGTCAACAGCAGGCCCAATTGAAGTGAAAATAAAGGAATGTCTGCAAGCTTTAAAACCAAAACATTTAGAAATTGTTAATGAAAGTTATATGCACAATGTTCCTAAAGGTTCCGAATCACACTTCAAAGTGTTAGTGGTTTCTGATGAATTCAAAGGCTTACAGTTAATCAAGAGACATCGTTTAGTTAATGGACTTGTGAAGGATGCACTTGAAGAGAAATTTCCTCACGCATTGTCAATAGAAGCAAAAGCTCCCGAGGAATTTAAAGAAGATTACAAATTAGATCCAAGTCCAAATTGTAGAGGTGGTTTTGGCAAATAGAAGTTTTCTTTTACATAGTTTAATTAAAGAACAAATCTTTTATTTCAAAATAAATTAAAAATTTTCAATTGTTTGTTGTTTCGGAATCAGTTGAACTTTCTGAGGAATGATTCTGTGAATGCTTAAGATTTACATTTGATGACACATTATTTAATAACTGACTAAACACAGGAATAATATTTTCTTCTGAGTTTTGTTGGTTGCTTCTATTATTGCCTAATGATTCTGAAGAGATTTCTTCATGTAGGACAGCTGGAAGTTGTTCTTTTGTTGTACTATCACCAGAAATTCCAATAAGGCCGGAAAATGCAGGAATATTATTCGAATCCTCATGAGATGAATTTTGATGATTCATTGATTCGATTTTTGTCTCTTGTAAAGCACTCAATGCTGGCATGAACACCTCCGATTTATTTAAAGTTGATGGTTGTGGCTTCGATGCAAAAACATTGGAATTGGAGAATTTTATAAGATCCGATTTCGATGCTGTATTGTTAAATAATCGGCTTGAAGCCATTCTTATGGTTGATGGAGGACGAATAAAAGGAATTGTTATGTTTTCTACATTTGAACTGGGAGGACCAAAGTTCATTGCTGGCACATTAAATGTTCGATTGTATTCTGCTTTATTCAAATTTGCTTGCACATCACTATAAGGATAATCCATTCCATTTACAATATCTTCAACTTCTCCAGGAATTTTCAAGTCCACTTTTGCTGCTGGTCCGTCGAGTGGCCTCTCAGGTTCGGCTTCTCCCATAAGTTGAGCCACATAATCAGCAGCTCTAAATAATTGACATTTAATTAAAAGCGCTTGAAAATGATGTAAATTTGGACGTATTTTTCCCATTGTACTCCATTCATCAATAAGAATTAGAACAGGTGATTTCATCAATGTTTGCGAATGACTACGAATGGAATCAATATCAGCTGATGTGAATCTTAATTCACTTTTTGGGTTAGTTAAATCTTTAGTGATGTTTCCCATAAGAATGCTTAATATTGAATCATCTCCATCAAGAAGTTTAATAATATTTTGAGTGACTGTTACAGGTAAATGTCTTAATTCAATATTTCCTTCTATTTGCTCCATTCTAATTGTTATTGACAAAATCTTAATATCACTATGTTTCAGGTTGTCTTTACTACGAAATTAAGGCACTAAAAATCATATGAATAGAAGGAAAAGGTCTTATTTTATAATTAAAGTTATGATAAGAAAAAATCTATCAAAATTGTTCACTTTTTGTTTACATTTTTCAGTTATGTATTAATGAGTTAAATCTTCATCACAAAACTATGAAAATTTCAAACCTCAAGAAGTAACACAAGATTATACAAACTATTATTTTTATTAATTGTCGTAAGTTTGTTAAAGTTACGACGAATTTTCTTAATTTGAGAAATCTTTTCTTGATATTTTCATATCGTGTTAGGTATAATTGTAACGGAAAATATTTCAAAAATTAAAATAAATTCAAACTTTTAACGAAACATGCTTGAAAGCCGTTAATTTTTTTTAATTCTTTTGTTAATAAAGAAAATCTTTCTTTTTTCTTCATGGAAGAAATATCTTACATTAAAAATGTAAGATTTTAATCATTCTCTTCTTTAATAAATCACTTAACAAATGCCAAATATTTTTGTTGATTCACATTTTTTGTTCATTCACATTTCACCCAAAATGTAAACAACGATTTTCTGAACAAAGTTCAAGCAATCAATTTTGGTTTTTAAATATCAAACAAGCAAAGCAAGCAAAGATTTTTTCACTTCTTCACTTTAAAATCTCTTTAAAAAATTTCTGAACATTAATTTTCTTGAATATTTTTATTACATCAAACTTCAAATCAGGATTTAAATCTAAATTTTATTCTTTTCTTTAGAAGTGACATACTTAAGATGCTTTGTACGACAAAGTTACCTCAAAAACCGCAACTTTGCAATCGAACGCAGGTGGAAAACTTGAATACAAATTGAATTTTCATGTCTTAAAATCTTAAAAATTTTTACAGCTAAAAAGATATGTAGAGCCGTTTTCAGCTGCGGCCTTTTTTCAACCAAACATCGTGGTTTTTCCACCGCACAAGTAAGTGTGAAAACTTGTTTATCTACTTTGCTCTCGTATCATGTAACGATCAAATCCCCCATGAGTGTCTTGCAAGCTGATAAAAGTATGAATTTCTTATTCTTTTCGATTGCAAATCCATTCACATTGTTTCATGATCTTAAAACGTAACACCAGACATCTTTAAGCACATCGAAAAAATAAAGTACCAAAAGCCAAGTTAATCCTATTTGGGAATTCGATTCTTGTGCTTGCTCAAGTAGGAAATTGTTTTTACATTTTCCCCCCTTAGTTCATCTACTCACGATGCTTCTTAATCCCTACTTTCTGATTATATTTTTTCCAATTTCTGAATACGCAACAATCCTTCAAAACTCTGCAATAAAAAAATTCTTACCACAAATTACAGTTTGAACATTCGACAGCAGCAAGCTGTCAACTGGAGCTTTTTTCGTACGCTGTTTTTACGCGGAGATATTCCATGTCAACAATCATTTTCCAATGGTAAAAATAACAAGCAAGGAACTCGATTATTGTGGAAGGTCTCGCCACATGATTTGGATTATTGCCATTACTTGCCAATATTTTTCGATGGGTACGATTTTTGTTCATTCCACTTCACACATCACATTCCAATAAATTTCAATTTTTTTTCTCAATATTAGATTATGTGAACCGAAGTATCCTTACAACATTATATCGTTCTATGCTATTCATGACTTGCTTCAAGTCGGAGGGGATAAAGTTCTGACCGTCGTTCCAAAACTTATTACACCTATTCGTCAAGCTTTCAAAACAAAAATACCGGGAGTAATAGTTGCAACATTACGAGCTTTGCAACTTTTGTGCACGAGTAGTAAGTACATGGAAAATTTTAATATTTCTCTTGATATTTATGAATATCGCTTGAGAAATAATTTTTAGATTATTTTGCTACACTTTTGTAGTTAAATATTTTAAATTTAAATATTGAATAACGAGTTGAAATTGATAATCAAAGAGTAATTCTAACATCAATGATTTTATAGATCCATGTGTGGGACGAGCTCTTGTTCCCCATTTTCGTAAGTTCCTTCCAGCTTTGAATATATTTTGCAATTGTAATAAAAACAAATTGGACAACATTGACTATGATCGAGTTGGTCGGTTAGGTGATATCATTGACGATACTTTGAAACTACTGGAACAGTGTGGTGGACCAAACGCTTATATAAACATCAAATATTCTATTCCCACATATGAAAGTTGTGTCAATAATTGTAAATTTCGAGCATAAAATAAATGAAGATTAACTTTTCTGATGTTCACTTTTTGGCGCCTTTTCAATGCTCTTTAATCATAAAACTTTTATAACCATTAGTTGTACAACATGAAAACCTTTTATTGAAAACTAAAGTTTCAGAAGGAAAAAAGTAGATTAAACAGTAATAAATTATTCATGTGCGAAATGCAAACATATTAAACTGAAAAAGTCTTTAAAGTTTATTTTATTAGGGAAAGTAGGAAAATAAGAATTTTCGCATATCAAAAAAATTAAATCTTCTTATAATAAAAATACTTGAATGTTGGTCCATGAAATATAAAATTCAGAAAAAAATTTAAAAATACTTGAATGTTGGTCCAAGAAATATAAAATTTTTTCAAAAAATACCAAGGAATATAATCAATAACGATTTAGAAATTTTATTTCACAACAATAATAAAAGTAGGACAGGAGAAGGAGAAGATTCATTGATTTTCCATCCATTTCTTGATACAATTTTATTTGTAAAAGATTTGGATGATTATATTTACATCTTTTTATTCAAAACCGTTGTTTTCTTATGTATTTAAATCATTTGCTTTGCATATTTAATAATGAGTGTCTTATAAGATTTTATCAAAATATCTCTTGGATATTATTAAGAAAATTCTTGTGAATTATTTATGCAAATTAAACACCTCAATAGAAAAATTTTGGGTGCGAAAGAGATGATATATTATGAATTTGAGTAGATGAACATGAGGCAGTTTAATAGTATCAATAAATAATTAGAGAGATCTTTATTTACTTGTTTAATAACTGTTGATAATGTATTAACATACAAATTCGTATCAGTTCGTTGAATGATCTATTGAAAAAGTTCTGACTCCTTGGGGGTCAAAACTTATTCTATTAGAAAATTATGTAGCAACATTCATACATCAGAACATTATGTTATAACAGTTCTAAATAAAATTCAGTAGAAAACTGTTCAATATCATGTCTTTAACCCGGTAGATCCCACGCAATCGCAGAAACTCCTTTAAATGATTTTCATTGTAGTTGTAAATTTCGAAATTTCGTAGAACCTTCAAACGACAGGCCAGTTACTATATTGGCATCATGCGAACAACATCGAAGGTAAACAAACAAACTTTTTCGTCTGGGGATTATGACATTGCGAAAATGATTTTTATATCTTTTTTCTTACAATTTCTTGATGTAAATGACTCGTCACGACTGATGATTTCAATGATGAGTTATCATGATTTAGAGCTGAAAAATCATCTTGTCATGTTTTCTTAGTCAATAAAGTACAAAAGTTTTCATCACGGAAGTAAGAAAGAAGGAAAGAAGAAAAGTTTTACTGTATTAGAAGAGAAGAAAAATCAATTCCCCCTTTGTCCTTGATTTGCTTATCGCATCTCTGAAGAAGATTCTTTTATACTTTTTTTTATTTACATGCACCATATGATCTAGTTCGTTGACATATACATTGTACTCGTTGACTTTTGTGTAAAGAGAGTTGTAATAAGGTAATACGAGAAATTGCGTACTCAAAAAATAATGTTTGTGAACATCAATCTTCATTGTAGGAAATGTTTTATGTATCATCTATTATGCGTCATGTACACGTGGCAATGGGCCATAGGAAAGAGATTGAAACTTACGCCATCTCATTGACTTAGGGAAAGTAATTTATTATCCGCTGAGGATAATTACGCCAAACAATAAATTTCAATCTTCTGATTAATCTGCTATTGGTTAAGAAGAAGCACAATCTAAATAATAATTTCTTAAACTCATCTCTCAAATGAATAGAAAGAGACAAATAAAATTTAAATAAAAAATTCACCATTTTATTTATTTACTTCCTAGGGTTTCATAATGACGACTCAATAGAAATAAATTCTAATTATGAGAAATACATAAAATTTTCATTTTATTTCCCTCGTCATCATTTGTGATTTTTTTTCTTCTCCTACTATGTATTGTCACTTTCAAGACCACATAATTGGAATATAACGAAAAAAAAAGAATGAAATGGAAGAAAAATCTTCATCTCAAGATTATGCCATGTAAGCAATTAGATCGAACGCTCGCAATGTTCCCTTTCCGCTTCCCTTCAGGCGGCGTTAATTGGATTTAATATTAATTTTGTTTTGCTGTTTTTACTGGCATGCTTTCTACGTTGCGTAGGGTGTTGGAGTGGAACAGATACGACAGAAATTATATTAAGGATTGAAAGTAATTTTTGTTTCTTTTTTCTTTATCATTTCTTTTTTCGTGGCATCGAAAAATCAACATGTGGCAGTAAAAGCTTAAAGCATCCGCAGCAAATTGTGTTAATCGTTGTAAAGGAATGAAGATCCTTTTTAATTAAGGCAATCATTTTAGCTGTTGTAGATATAAAGTGAAAATCTGGCAGTTTTCCGTCCTTTTTTCTCCCTAAAGATTGCAGCGACGAATCAATGAACGTGAAGATTTTGAGTAAATATTTATTTTCTTGTGTTCAATCTAAATTCCCATTTCGCGTGGGTGTTGATGTAGAACTTATCTTCTGATTCAGAACAATGTTATCCTTTTCCATACGTTTTAGGTTTTACATAGCTTCATGTTATTGTTGAGTGTTTGCTGATTGTGCGAGAGCCCAGAAATAAATTCCACAGAGTAAAATAAATTATATAAAAGCGAAAGGAGAGGAAGGAAGAATTTTTCACGTTGTCGGATACCCGAAGAGTGGAAGAAAACAAGGCAAATTAATCAAAAGAATTCTCTCGCCCCCACTTGTCGGTTGATAGTTGAGATTGCGAGAGGGTGACTTGAATACATAGAAATTGTATGATTTTTGCATGATTTACAGTTTCATATTCTTTCCCTATGTCATTTCTACCCCCAACTCATCTTCAACGTTCGTCTTCAACACTTTATCTTCACCGACCCGAAAAATATTATTCAAGTTATGCAAGGCATTCTTTCATCCTACTTTTAACAGTCCCAAATAAACAACCAAACCAACTCTCAGCTTTTCGAAAACAAAATCTTTTCTTCACTTATTATTTGGAAAAACCACACGTTTATCTTAGAGAAAACAATTAAGAGAATTTTTTCCTTCGAACAGCGTCGTCGATGGATGCGTGCGGATTGTGATGTTAAGGAAGTTATCCCTCCACTGGATATAAAATCTCAAAAATCATGAGGGGAGAGTTGTGTTGAATTATGTTGTGTGTTAAACGAAGATTGTAAAGCGGCGATGATAAATGGCTTTCATTTAATTACTTTAATTACCTCACAGATGTTTCTCCATTGTTATCTCTTATGCTTAGTTGTTTTGTCTTTTTCACTCTAAGGGGTTTCTCTGAGAAATCGAACAATAAACAAAGCGGCAGATGAAGCTTTCTTGTGTTAGGGATTATGATTTTTAACTTTGTGAATATTTTTGTTTTAGATATTAGAATATAAATATTTGTATATCTATCGGTTTTATATTGGTTTTTTCTCCGCAGGAAACAATGTTCATAACAACAATGAAAGTAAAAGGAATAAATTGTAATTTAATAGCAGAGATTTATTTATTGGCAATTTGTGTACCTTTTTTTTTCATTCTCGATTCTGTAATATACCTTAGAAATCGATCGACCTGGGGATAGAACTTGATAGAATGTAATCAAATAAGAACGGAAAACGAACAGGATAAAAATTACGCACAGAAGGTAGTTGTGAAAGCTCTTAGCCAAATGTTTCATCTTCGTTAGTACAAAGTATTTGTCGATAAAAAGGTTAAAGCGAAAAATCAATTTTCTCGTTCGTACACAAAGCCAAGGACAGATCAAAGTAAAAGGGTCGAAAGGTCTTGGATTTGTATATTAATAAATATGCAAAAATTAGCTTTCTCAATGTCAGAATAAAATTTAATTTTATTATTTTTTTTGACAACAAAAATTCTTTTTCATGTCGAGGAATTTATTCTTTTCAAAGACAAAAGGAGTTCTTTTTGATGCTTATATCGAAAGTCTTTCTTTTAAACTATCCAATAATCCTATCTACAGATGAATAAAATGAAATTTACGATGCAAATAAAGATATTGGTTTTCACATAAAGTTGGAAAAAATAAACAAAGACATAACAATTTCAATATCATTCCATCTTGCAAAGCTACCTAACAATGTACATGCTCACATTCAATGACAACGAAGGCATAACACGAAAAACATTGTGACACATGTGCGAAACTTTATTGCCAAACTTTTTCTTTTTCTCAGCCGCAGATATCGGAAAAAGATGATGAAAGTAGAAAGTTACTTAATTTCACGGGAGAACATTTTCGGTGCTCATATCTTCGCCTATATCTGTATGTATATTTTTTACTTTATTTTTAAAGTTTTCATGCTTTGTTCGGCATCCTTTTGAGCAAATAAATTTAATACGGGGAAAAACAAAAGAAATGTAATAAAAGTTTATGCTCAAAAGAAAGTTGAGAAAAGAAAGAAAAGGGGAAAATACTGGAAAAGCGACAGGAAAATTTGTGAGTCAAATTAAAAAACTTGACTACTCGGATGAAAATTTTTTGGAAATGATGAAATGATGCAAGCTTTCGTGCTTTTAGTTGGTTATAAAGTTAAATTAAGAGAACAATCGATAAAAATTATTTCAAAAGCATCTGTAAGCAATTTCTCTATCCAAAAAAAAACAATTTTCAGCATAATTTTAGCTGGTTTGCATATCTAATTACAGCACAACATACGATGCCATATTGTCATGAAAAACACATCAACATATCGTTCTCGCTGCTGTAAAAAATGTAAAGTTTAAAAAATGATATTCAAACTTTTTATGGCATTTAAACACGCTGTCAGGAGAGTACATAAAGAAGCACATGTCACTTTAAGGAAAAAGTGTTGTGTGAAATTATTTCGACGTATTCGACATGACTTAAAGACTTCGAGATGGAGAAAATTTTGTAGGAACATTTCTTATTGGTTATTGATAAAATTTGTGAGAGTTAACCATTCGATGAAGATTTCAAACAACTTAAAGTAACTCTCGATTTTAAATTAAAAGAAATAATCTACAAAAAATATTAATGGAATCGTTCATGTTTGCACATATGTTGCAAACTTGCAACTATTTTTATGACAACTTTTTTTGTTTTGACATTCTAGTAAGTTTAAACTAATGTGTTGTAAGTACAGATGTGCATTTTGGTGTTGCAACAAACATCGTAGATTAAAATTCTCAACAAATGTTGTGGATATTTGATAATTTGTAAAGACGAGTTTTATTTTCTATTTCACATTTTTCAATGTCAATCTGAACGGTGACATTGACTAGAAATAATAAAAAGTCATCACATTCGAGAATTCTCTCAATAAAAAGGTTGAATGCGTATCTACAAATGTTTTGCTTTGTAAAAATAGAAAGAAATCGAATAAAGCTTCACATTACATTATTTACTGTTCTTGTGAATCATAAACGTGTAGGTTACATACATCATTCATCCTTTATTGCAGACATTTACATTCTCTATTATTACAATTCATTGGATTTCACTGCAGAATATAAAAAATTGATGACATAAAAGCGATGATGAGACAAAAAATAGGAGAAAGACGAAAAACTAATTATTTCCATTAACAGTTATGACAAATATATTTATTCAGTAGTAATAGCAGATATTTCATTTAGGATTATAACTAACGCATCTAATTTTTTTGCTAAATGTTCTCATGATAGATTAGCAGGTCATAATCGATGGAAAAATAATCTTTTAATTGATTGGGATTAATTGTCACAAATACATTTGAAACTGTGACTTACTGTGAGTGAAATGAAGGAAAAGTTTTGATTTAATTACGAATAATTTGATTTCCAATCCTTCAGCAATTCAAATTGTCACCAAACTTTCAACAACTTTAAATTTAAATTGTTTTAATTCACGATCACATGTTTCATACCAGAGCGTGTTCGTAGTGGAGTTCAGTGTGAGAATGTATAATTGAATTCAAACTTTATTCACATTTTCCTAACAGTTTTCTTTAACTTATAAGAAATTAAATGAAACTGAATTTCTTTTATTTACGCTATGAATTTTTCATTAATTAATTCGTCTCTCATTCTCTCTCTCTTCTACCTAGAATCATCTCTTTGATTAATTTTCAATAAGTATCGTAGTATTCATAAGTTTCCAACGCACGTAAGTATTTATATTTGTCATGCACTTTGTGACTGTGTAAAGATCACAAGCCAAGTAACACAAAATACAATACCGACACAAATGCAGGTGTGAGTAAATTTATTTAAGTCTGGTAATTTTCTTATATTTGAGAACAATATTATCTCAGTCGTGAAAACACCGTTCACTGAACAAATTGATTTTCAATTTTTTTCTAACAGACTTCAGTATTTAGTTTGTTGAAATTGTAAATAGATATTCCAAAATTTGTAAACGGAAGCTGTAAGGGAATATTTTAAGTAAACTTTCTTGCATGTGAGTATTTTTTTCTGCTTGATCGCGATCGTGATGAAGTTCATTTCTAAAAATAAATAGTAGCATGTAAATAAAATTCATTCTTCATTCACTTCCAACAAATCTGCCTCCACATTCTCATGGATTTAGGTGTTGTCATCTTTCAAATTGTTTTGTGAGAACTTAACGATGACCAAAAGCAATTTGTATCTTTTTTCATAATATAAGAAAAGTAGAAGAACCATAAAGTGATAATGAATTATTATACTTCACGGAATTAAAACTAAGATTACAAACACATTTCTACTTCGGTATAATACTTAAATATCTAGCAAATTTTGCACGAGTATGAACTCATTTTATATTGTTTTATTTTATTTTCAAATGTGCTTACTTTGAAATTCTATTTTTATTGACTTTAATGTTGTCACAACAAATGCCTTAGCTACTTATTCCGATATTAAAAGTTTAATCAAAATATAATTAAAAGTTTAATTACTCATAAACATATTGTTTTGTGTATTTACTTTTTAGTTAACATTTAATTAAATTTAAGGTCGTATTAAAAATGTCAAGCGCCCATTCAACCAGTCGAACATCGGTCTATGAATATCCGGAACATTTAAATCCATTCTATGAAGATGAACAACATAAACGCCTACGATTCTGGAAGATTTCTAATAGCACTGGAAAGCCTCGACGACTGAGTTTCAACTTGGGTTCCATCAAAAATTTATTGTAAGCTTTTTTAAATATTTATAACATTCCAAATGATATTTTAATTGAGCTATTTTGTAGACCTTTCGAGTCGTTCAGATTGAAGAAGAAATCTTCTACTCTAGGTGTTAATAAAACTTCAGAGTCGCCAAGTTCTCCGCGAAAATTTGACAATCATAACAGCTTTGCCAATTACGATTCTCGTTTACAACGACAAGGTTCTATTGATTTTCAAAGAAATACGCCATATCGAAGTTCTCTACAGACTTTGAACGACTTCAGTTTCACCAACCGCAATAATCGTTATCGCAGTACAATACAAGGCAGTGCGCCTTATAAAAATAATGAAACACCTAGAAGCTTGTCAAGTAGAGCTCATTACTTAAGTTCATCTACTAACATGACTCCTGGGTAAATTTATGATTAATTAAGTTTTTCATAAACAGTAATACTGATGAGAATGTTTTCTTTTGAAGATCGTCGATGAATAGTGTGAATACAAACCCATTCGAAGATAACGAAAACGAGTTCACCATTTCCAGCAGTATTTCCGACTCTAAAGGACACAATGATCGAAAGAAGAAGAAAAGGAGAGCTCCATTGCCTCCTGCTTTGTCACCTGAAACTGTAAGTGTTTATTTTATTAAATAAATATTCTCGTGCAATTTACATTTTTATTTGACTGTGATATAACTTTGGCGATTCTTATCTTATCTGCTTGACGCAATTCTACGATAAACGAACACACATGAAATGAGAATTTAAACATCACAATTTATGCTTCGGTTTGGAAGAGAAAAACTGAACTAAAAATTCAAGTCATGCATCATTTTTTTATTTCCAAACCATGCTGCAAATTTATGTTGAATCATAAAAATAAAAATTTTTCAATGATTTTAAGATGCGTGACATCAATGGAAACGATGAAGCTGTTACTATCAGGGAAAATGACACCAAATACGAAGATGTCGAGAAGGGACTGCAAGAACTAAGTCGAATGACCGCAGAATTCGAGAGTTTCGTTAAACATTCTAATGAAACCTTTCAAAATGGTTCTAATAAACTTTTACACGAAGATGTTCGCATTGAACATAATTTAGATGACAAAAACCAAAAGAACCAAAATGACGACAAGGGAAAAGAGAGCAAAATATTTGAACGAGAAATTATTGTGAATCAAGATGAAGATCGCTCTTCTCCAACCGCCAATAATCGTGTGAGAGATAAAGAAGAAAATTCTTCTATAGCAAATATTGAGGTGAATGTTGTGTCAACAAAAGTCCGACAATTTCCTGAAATCGATCAAATATCTTCATCTACTTCGCGTGAAGAAACGCCTGACTATATACCAGTTCCGGTTCGTGAGAAGTTCCAACCCTTGGAAATTATCGAAAGCAAACATGTGAGTCAAAATGAGAATCTACATCAAAAGGAAACTAAAGCTGAAGCACATGTGGATGAAAAGAAGAACTGCGAAAATGTTGAAAAAGATTCATCTGAGAAAATAAATGAAAATTTAATTTCAACTGCAAAAATGCCAAATCGTTCCCAAAGCGCTGAAACTGAAACTATTGTAGCTTCAACAAGAAATATCCATGAACCTCCTCAAACTAATGAAATTGAAACAAACTCCAAGTCATCGATGTATGTCCAAGAACATCCAGCGAGTGTCGAAACTGTAATAATTGTAACTTCAACAACAAATATTAAAGATCAGCCAACAATCGTTGAAACTGAAACAATAACTTCAACGACAAATATCCAAAAATATCCTCAAAATGTTGAAGCTGAAACTATTTTCAAGCCAACTACAGATATCCAAAATCATTCACCAAATATAGAAACTGAAACCATTATCAAATCAACTACAAAACCAATTGTCCCCAAAAAACCAGCTCTTCCTCCCCGAAAATATTTCTTTAGAGAAGAAACGCCAGTGCCGTTAGCAAGAACAGAAATCGAAACAAAACTTTCATCTCAAGGTTTTGTTAAAGTCAATGAACAAGATGTAAAAAAAGATGCTGAGGAAGATGAAGTCGTGATTAGAGAAAAGGAAGAAATCATCGACACTGATCATCCTGCGAAGCCACCAAGGAATCGTCGGTCGGTTAAAGAAATTATAGAATCGATTAATCGAAATCAACTTTTACTCAAGGTGAACCAGCCATCAACACCTACAGCTGAGAGGAAAATAAGATACATTTCAAATGATGTAACTTTACTCGAAAAACCAGTTATCAAAGTTAGAGAAGGTGCCTTTATTGATCCTAGAATTAATAATTATACAACCGACAATCAAGTCAGCAATAACTCGTCTTCAAGTCTACACGAAATTAGTAAAAACTAAACATTGAATAAATATTAAAAAATATATTTACTTAAATTATATTTGGATACTTAAAAATACGAAAAACTTTTCACATCTTAACCAATAAACTTTGTCGAGTTTAAAATACCAATCTGTGAGACTTTTGTTATTTTAATTTTGAAATAAAATAAATATTTCTATTTAAATAAATAATTTTTCTTTTAATTGAAGCGCACGGCATTGAGTCAAGTAACTTGACTTGCCATTCAAGCACATTTATCATAACTTGACTTATAAGATCGACTTCACTCAAGTATGAAAATTAGATCGAGTAAAATCTCTGCTCCTAATTCTGATATTTATCATAACTGTAAATATTATATAGGTCGATTTCAGGCAGAAAACTGAATAAAATTTAAGAGTTTTCAAGCATCAGTTGAGTTTCGTGTATCAATTTGATATTGTTGAACTCCCGTCGTTTTTCAAATTACTTTTAAAATCTTATTTGAATTCGGTGAAAATAATTGGAAACAAACTCAATTGAAGCAATTAGTTTTCAAAAATAAAGCTTCGATTTTCTGATCACTTATATCGAGCTTGAATTACTAGGCCTCAAGGTAATGAATTTATTTATTCACACATTAAAAATTCTTGGAAGAAATGTTTTGTAATCGGAAACCTAATAAGATTTTTATGTTACACGACACTAAAATTACAATAAAAGTCCATTTCATTCAGTAGAATATTTTTATTTTATTTCTTGTAACTTATCTTGATATCATTACATGCAATGTGATATGATGATGTCAAACGTCATTAAATATTATTTTTTTGTAAGCAATAAAATATATTAAAAGCTCGTGAAAGATAAATATCTACTTTTGTGTTTGTTTAAGTCTTCATAATTAATTGAAAACATTGATTCGCATAGTTTGATATTAGAAATCTATTTTCCTTCTAAGTATTTCATAAAGTGCGTTAGAGTGTGAAAATCTATCAAAGCACATTAAAAATAAGTTTGCAAGAAGGCACAGAAATTGTGATTCGTTTAATGTCCACCAACTTCTCGAAGTTCTCTGTTACCAATGTCAAGTGGTGGTCGGAAGTTGTTGATAATTTTTCCAACTTTTTCTCCTTGTTCTTCAACTTCATCATATACAAGCCAGTTTCTTTCATCACATGGACATTCTTCATTAACATCATAGACTCTTAACTCTCGGAAAAGGTTCAGTTGTTCAGCTGATACTTCCATTGGTTCTTTGAACAAAATCCATGTGACTGACTCATTGAACGGTGGGGCTAAATTAAATTAATGTTACATTTCTAATAACAAACAGAATAATTTTAAAAACTTACTTGTTAGTGATCCTTCGTAAGTCCAATAGGCTCTGTTTTTCGGCAAAAGTTTAGCTGGGTCCAATGACTTTATTGTCACCTGAGAAATGATTTCATTCGAAATTAGAACATGTCCTATTTCTCTTTGTTACATTTGTTACTCACCCGATCTCCTTTATGTGAGATGAATGGCATTAACCTTGCGATTTGATCCAATTCTTCATGTCGTTCACCGACCTATATAAATCCACAAGGATAAATAAAATGATTAATGACATTACATATTTATCAACTATTAAATAACTCACTTATATGAGAATGTGATCAATTTTTCAATTACTCATGATAACAAAAAAAGTGAGAAATATGTTCAAATAGATAAATATTTGGTGACACATTAGAGATAACAAAAAATAAAATAAAAAGCACGAAATTTTTTCCCATATGAATATGAAGTCATAAAAAACTAACGAAAAAAAATTATTCACCTTCATAAAGACACCTAGAACTGCTAAGCCATCAGGGTGACCGGCAGCTTCTTGAAATGATTTATATTTTGATGAATTCCAGTGAACGATGTGTAACTCTCCAGAGAAAGCTTGCCCATCGACTGTATGTTCGGATCCTCGACCATCGCTGCATCCCCAATGGCAGTGAAATTGTTCAACTAAGTAAATGTCGTTATTCAACGGTCCGCCAGTAAGTTCTGATCCTTTGCCATTGACATCAACACGCCAGCAATATCCAGGATTAACAAGGCACTTTGTATTTTCAGGAACGTAAGTCCATCTTAATGGATTCATCGACAGGTCATTGCTAGTTTTAGTGTTTGATGTGATAATGTTAACAGGAGACTGTCGAATTCCATTGGCTAAGGGAAACTTTTCATGCCATTTCTTCGGTCCTGTTTTCATAAATAAAATTCAAAGATAATCTTAATTGTTTGATATCTTTTAAAGTTTAGATTGTGAGTTACTAAGAAATGTTATCGTTAGTTTTCATTTTTAGTTGTGAGTTGACAAGTGGCCAATTGAGTGAACGTTCCAACCCTAATAAATCTCGTGTCTGGCAAATATGGAATTTCACGATAATTTAAATTGTGATAAAGCACAACTTGTGATTTTTCGAGAATGTGATAATCTATTTTTACTTAAAACGCGCCCAATTTAAACCACTTGATTCGATTGGTCATATTTTTATAGCGACACTTGAAGAGTTTTTAAATGATTAAAGACGGAAATAAAGCCTCGAGTAGCATTCGTGATTGAATTTTGATTAAATAAACTCAAGTTTAGACCATAAAAATTTAATAAAACAATTGCAATTTTAATAATTTTGTTGTCCTCAAATTGATTTTAGTATCTTTATTACAACTGTGGTTTAGACAGAATGAAAAAGTGACCCTTAAAGCGATAATATTTCATTGATTGGCGTAATTTATATTTTATTCAAACCATTATATTCGGCTGTTTGTTTATTGCTTTTAATAGAACTCAATTCATAAATAAAATAAACGAGAACGCTTCATTTCAATCATCTTGAATAATTTTTTGGTATGATGCATAAATGAAATTGATTTCACTACCTGCTTTGCTTCACAATTCTATTGACAGGGAATAATGTTTGTAATTTATAAACTACTTACATCTGTCAGTGTGGTTCGAATTCAAAATTGTTTATTGGTTTGAAACTCAAACTATCAAGTGATATCTCGACGTTATTAACGTCATCAACATTTAAACTTCAATTAAAATTGTTTTGATACAAATACCAAACAAATTTTACGACTTTATCAGTGTGAATTGAAATCAATTAATTAGAACCAGAGCTTTAGTCTTTATAATTTGTCTCAATTAGTTTAATTTATTGTTTGAAACCAACGTAAAGTGATTCGATCTTCTGCTAAATTTGTCACTTCATAAAACGCATCTTCAGTCCGAACAAAACATTCCGTGGCATTAAAAACCAATTATATAGTTTAAAATCATTTGTCAAGCGTGATATTTCCTTGTTGATTGTTGAGATAGAAATTTTTTTTCACCCTTAGGCGACAACTGACAATTGTAGTCTGTTTTTATTGCCATCGTCATCATCATCATTCCTGTTCCTGGCATTGAGCTGTAGAATACTCGACATTAAATCATGTGACTAAAAAGTACTCTGATTTATTTATTTATGTAGGTATTCTTTGTTTAATAGTAGATATTCTCATTAATTGGATATTTTCTACTTCACGCTCAATATCGCGCAAAGCAAATTGAGTTGCAAAAAATATCAACCACCTTCAATCCAAGGTTAAATTAATAAATTTTTTATAAACACTGAATGAGATAGACATTCGGGAAGCTTTTTTGTTTAAGAAAAAATACTTTAAAAACGTGTTAAACGTTTTAAAAACAACGACACACGATGATGAATCATAAAAACTCAGAAGCAGTGAACAATTTCACTTTGGTTTGTATACATGAAGAGTTGGATGTATTGGAAAGGGTTTTCTTATTAACAATAACAGGTTTTGATACTTTAAGACGTAAATTAATGTCAGAAAGGTTTTCAATTTATTGATCACTCGTGCTGTTCATGTAATCGCTACATTTAACTTTAAAAAGCAATGAAAATTTATGCTAATTGATACTAATTTTTAATTTTTTTTCACTTTTTAGAAGTTTCGCTCAAATTTTTCAGGACGTGATTGACTGATTTACGCTTATTAAGATCATACCAAATCTGGTTCGATCTGGTCTGGAGTGTTTCATCTCATGAGATGACGTCATCGTATTTTATTATGTGACGGAGTTCACTTATTACTCAATGTTGAAATTAAAGCAACAAACAATCATAGCGATAAAAAAATGAAGCGTGAAAGCTATGAAACTTGAACTGGAGTAGCTTTTGATGTGAAGTTTCACTGACTGATCGATTATTTATTTTCATTTTCTTCGAGATAAATATTTTTATGAGATCATAAAATGTTCAACTATTTATTATTTTTAGAATTTATTAATAGGTGAAATGTTTAATTCAAATTAAATTTGCTTAAAACGTTGTCTTATCATTAGTCGCGTGTTCAAACGAAATCGTGCATTATTCGTTATTTTATTTCCATATATGACTGTTGATTATGAACAGCAAAACATGTGACTAAATGCACAATAAATCTCAGATGTTCAAATAGAAAACAACTTTAGAATCTAGCAGAATAATAATCAAAAACAAATTATCTAAGTTGATAGTTTGTAATAAAAAGATTTAAGAATTTTTTTTTACTGAAATGAAATACCACAAAGCGAATTAATTAAACAACACCTGATGTATTTGTGAATAAATAGAATAAAGTTTCTGTTGTTTTCGTTTAAAATCACTTCGTATTAAGATATAAATGGTAGAAAATAAGTTCGAGGAATCATCGTTTGAATGAGATGTCGTTTCTTTCTCTGACGCTTTACATTTGACGCAATTATCTGTTTTTGGGGTTTTAACACACTTTAAACTTTAAAGTCATGTTTGCAAAAACAATATTTAGTTTTGCGTTCATATTTGAAGCTTGATTAATTTGCATCGAATGGAAAAATGATGATGATGAATTTTCTAAGTAATTCGTTCGTCTTTAGAAATCTAAAATATTTAAAGTAAAAATTTTATGGTTTTTGCAATACAGCAATTTTGTTTTTTGAGCTTTTAACTTTTTAAGTGTTATTAAGGTGAAGTGAAGGCTGTTGTAAGAAATTTGAGCTTCTTTGCTAGCTGGCTAGGTAAAACGAATCGATTGTATATATAAATATCAAGACAATAAGCACTTCGCTTTCTTTCATGAATACAATAATGGATCAAAGTTCAACACTTTATTGTTATTGTAAGTAAGTATCCAGTATTAATACCAGTAAACTATGTATAAGAGGAAGTAAGTTCAGTGTTTTCGCTGAAAACAATAAAACTTTGTTCTTTATCTCTCCCGATTTTGATTTACTGCTTAGTGCTGATTTGATTTTGATCTTGAAGTTTTTAGAGCTTAATCGGCGGAAATTATGAAATCATAAGCTGCTTAAAACTACAACTAACTTATCGTAAAATCATTTAAAATGATAAAAGACGAAGGTTCATTAGAATTGCTTGTTAAAATGACTGAAAGTCTAATTTGCAAAAATCAATTCCATTAACTATCATTACATTGCATTGAAAGAGAAGCAGTAGCTTCATTATCAGACAGGTACGAATAACATGTTGACGGGCTCATTAAGTGAAACACTTTTTTCTCTTTTTTTGTTTTGTTATCAATACTCAATAGTGATATTTACAATACATACCATTTTCAATTGAATATCCCCATTCAGCGCTCATTTTTATGGTTTTAACTGTAGACAGGAAACTTTCGAATTCACGGGAAATTATTAATAAATAACTTTAAAACAAATTAAATTGAAATTATAAAAATTCGATTGCACTTAGATGATTGTGTTAATGTATTGCTGTTAGTTGAAATATTACAAATATTCAAGTGATTAATGTTTGACTCTTCCTTTTTAAGTCTGTACACTTCAAGCGACATAAGCAAACTGGAAATGAATGAAAACTACAATAAATTTTTATTGTTTTTTCTTTGATGTACGGTTTTCTTTGCATTATGTTTGTGTGTGTCAGTGGGCTTTTTGAGTGATGATAAGTGTAAATGCTCTCTGTTTTTTATTGTTGATCGCGTTACGCCATAGAGCATCAAACCATTACAGTCGAAAGATTGAAACTTCGAGACTTATCTCTCACAGCCAACGTCTCTCTTCTAACAAGCAGACCAAGCAATTATTTATTGTTACTTTTTATTCCATTTCATACTCACGTGATATTCGTATTTCTTCGTGTTGAGTTATGCTTGTTGAATAGATGTTAAACTGAATACCTTAACAACATTTCTCTCAGCAACACAATCAATATAAATAGCTAATGTCAAGTGTGTTTAAAACTGTAGTCAATAAATCAGGCAAGAATTCTTCTTTTCCTTTCATTAATGTACCTGATATTTAATAAATCATATTTCAGCAAAGATTACGAATAAAAAGTCATGCTTAGAATGAGATGTTGACTTTGTTTTTACTTATCAACAGAAAGTTAAAAACACTGAGTCATTTTCAATTGCTTGAGATTCGTGACTTCATCTTTATGTCAATAGTTTCAGTGCAACAATGGAAATTCCCATTTCTTATTAAAAGTTTTTTAATTCTTTCTTATGCAGATTTTATAATGCTGGAGCAAACTTGAAGATAAATTTCTTAAATATTTTCCTTTGTTTTTCAAAATTTTAATTTTTTATGTGGTTTTTTCTGAAAATCAAATTACATCCAACATCAATTCTAAACATTAAGAAATATTAAGAAATATGAGTTGCCTCAAAATGATAACAATCATTGTTGATAATGGTTTCACCCTTAACCAAAGGATCGTTTGTACTTACTTTTATGTATACACAGCTCACCAAAAAAGCTTAAAAATGAGATATTTAAAGTATCAGCAGAAGCTCTTTCAAAAGCACGTGCAAACTTTAATGTGAAAGCTTACTAAAACCTCTTAAAAGTTATTATATTGAAACATTACATTTACGTTTATTCTCACACATACAATTTGCTTCATTTCCGTCATTTTTGAAAAACAAAACCAACTCAAAAAATAATATAAAAATTGGAGATGGGGAAGCTCCACATGGGGAGCTTCAAATTATGCATGCATAATTTTAAGTTACTCCGGCCGGTGTGGAGTTTCCGACTGTCCATGGACCTTCCGACTGTCCATGGACCTTCCGACTGTCCATGGACCTTCCGACTGTCCTTGGTCTTCCACTCATTCTCCCACACGCGTACCGATCGTCCTATTCAAAAGAATTCTCGGAAATACTCTAGAAAGAATTCTCAGAAAAATTCCTGATAAGAATTCTCAGAAAAATTCCTGATAAGAATTCTCAGAAAAGTTAACAAAAAAAAAGTTACAGACATACATACAGACAGACAGACAGACAGACAGACAGACAGGGTTGAAAGGCGACGGAAAAATGGAAGTCCATTTTTTCCACTTTTCTCGACGTTTCATGCTATTTTAAGCATATTTAAGCAAAAAAAATTTTCCAAAAAAAAATGTCGAATACAATACGGTGACCTCACCAAAGGTGGGCCTCCGTAATATTGCACGACGTTTTAGAAGTGATTCTAATCTTTTAAATTGTTGTTTTAAAGTTCAAGTGTTTGATTCACAATGTTGGAAAATGAGATTTTAATTGTTTTCCCTGAACTTTTTAACATGCATTTATAGCATCATTAAAAGAAAATTAATAAAATCTTTAGTCATAATAAATAATTTTTATAACTCATAAATTTACATTATCCTTACATGTTTTGTTAATTCATCATCATTATTATGAGCTTTTCTTATCATCTCCCAAAGGAAGAAACTTAGGCTTATCATTTACAAACTGAAGACAAAAGATGCCATCATGTTTCACTTAAATATGTATCAACAGTAACAAACTCAACATAACATTGAGCAGCACTTTCAATTCATTTATATATCCAACACAGATAAAATCTATTTACTTTCGAATTAAACACACAATAAACTTCCATAGCCATCAAATAAATAGAACGAAAAGTAAACACATAAAACTTAATCGAAAACTACAAAACATATTTGTTGAGTTCCTTTTCCATCAAAAAAGAAAAACAAACTTTCATTTTGTTATGAAGTTACAAAGCTTCATTTCTTTCAAGATTTATTTGAATGTTAAAAGTTCATATGAAAGAAGGAAGAAGAAGAGAGAAAGAAGAAATAAACATCTAAGGGAATGTGTCTTATTTATCAAAGGAAGTAATTTATCGAAATGAGGATTTGCTTAGTAGAACAATTATTCATCCCCAAACTGTGTTTGCTTAGGTGATTTCCAATGAACGTAATAAGATTCAAGTTAATTCCTTTTGAATGAGGAAAAAGTTTTCGGGGGGTTGCTTAAAATGAAGTTTTGAGAGCTGAGAAAATCATGAAGTATTTATTTATTCACAAAGTTGTGAACAACACAATGTCTAACTGTATACACAGTTCTCGATATGAATCTAAAAGGTTCATCTTGAAAATCAACTGATAATGTTAAGTTGAGCTGGAAGGATAGCAAAAGAAAAGCTAAATGAGAGGATGGATACCTTTTCTACAAGTCACGTTTGCAATGTGTGCTGAAATTGTTTATTTTGGGATAACTCATAAGACATGATTTGATTTGCATAAACTTGATCTTCTAACATGAGTTAATTATGATGTAATAGTGACCAAAGCTGATAAAATTATTGGAGACATGTAGGATACAGTATCATGACACAATAAGTTTGGTTTTGAATGAATCTTGTCATGTTGTCAAAACGCACTTAATTAAATTTATATCAAGAATCGACGATACCATGAATAGACAAACATTATGTTCAACAAATTTCAGCCAATTTAATTGTGGTAAAGAAAAACATGTAAATTAATTAACGAAACTCCTCTACTGCCTAATACCTTTTACGATGGAACATTTCACAAGAATGGAATGCTTGAGATGAGGTTGCTTTTTTTCCCTCAAATTCTTTCCTGAAGCGTAGAAAAAAAACAATTTGGAATGTTTATTAAAGGTAGACTGCTTCAGCTATTTATACTTTAATAAGAGTTCTGTTCTTGTGAAGAGAATTAAAGGTGAGAAGTAAATGTAAAAATAATGCCGGAAAAGCTTCTAGAGCACGCTAAGCAATGCTAAATGTTGTAGTTAATTTTTATTTTTGCTTTATTTAAGTTTAAAACATCACGAGATTTCATTCTGGAAGATAAAAGATTTTTATAAAAATCACGTCATTGTCTTTTCCATTTTGATTGTTTAAGATTTTTCACGGGAATGAAAATGAATGTTAAGCGAGGGGAAAATGAATTCATCAAAGTAAGCACATACTTAACCATTTTAAGAGAAAGGACATTTCATTTGAAATGTTTGTGGAGAGTCTCCAAAGGCATTGTCGGAAGAAAAACTTATCATAACTTACTTTTCGTTTTTATGATGGTTTCAGGAACCATAGATCTTACACAATCTATGCATGTGTTCAGTGAATAAAAACTACATCAAATCTCAGGATAAGAGCAAACTTGGGATTATGCGAATCTTTTCTCTTGAATCTTAAATAGAGCGAACAACCACAATCATATTCTGTTCTTGATTATTTTTGCTTGCATGCATTTGTTATATTTTTTTTTTGTTATATGGAAGCAAACTTAAATTTATTTTCTCTTTTTTCCCTCCAATTTCAGTTTTTGAGGCAAGGAATAAACTCGGAAAATAAAAGTGTTTTATGAGCACAATTTTCTGTGTTTGTAGCAGATGCGAAGTTTATATTTGCACAAAACTGATGTCTAAGGTTAATGTATGAAGCTGCTTAATTGTTATTCCTGCAATATTTATGAGTTAATATAAATAATTAAAACTTTCTATAAAGCAATCTTATGATAGAACACTAATTAATATTGCTAACAAGAAATTAAAACTATCGAAGCTTGTACGTACTTTGAAATTTTCAAATTTATTCTTTAGTCAGTATTTGCTCGATGTTAGACCGTAAATAGAAAAATAAATACAAACTAGATGTCTGATCTTGTTTATTGACAAATTTTAGATGATAACTAAAAGCTAAATGCATTGTGCATACATCTCGGAAATTGCAAATCTTTGAATTAATAAATTTTATGTACATATTTGTATAATAAACGAGAATGCAATAACAAGACTTGAAGCAAACCATAAGATTAAATTGGAAACATTTCTGCTAAAATATTTATAATCCTCTCCATGATTTCAATCTAAATTGATGCGTTTCATAGAGAGACATAGTGGCAATTTATATTTTCCGTAAAAGCATCAAATTAACTTCACTGGAGCAGAAGGAACAATGTCGAGATTATTATTCGGTGATTTTATTTCAAACATAAATTGTTCTAAATTCTTGCAAATTTTCAATGTAGATAATTGTGGAGATTGTTCATTTGATAAAACAAAATATTTGTGACGATGCATTGTCATAATGGTATCATAATTAATGGTTCATTAAAATTCTATAATTCGCAATGTTGGATTTAATTTCGAAATTTAAAATTCACGTTTACACTTTCATCAAATATTTTCCCTCGCATTTAATAATTGAAGAATTTATTTGAAACAATTGTTTAAGCATGAGAATGAACAAATCAAAGGAAACCTAATGAACTTAATGTCGAATCTTTTGTCAAATCTCATTACAAGACTAACGATATAAATTTCCTCTCTTACAAACATTTTGTAGGAAAATGTTTTTTACGAATCTTCTCACAATGCGAACAAGACCTAGCGATGTATTAAAGCAATTTTTTATTTTTCCTAGCAAATGAGAAGTCATAAATCTGCGGGAATTTCTGAGCAAATTTAAAACTTTCGCATGACTTGAAATGAAGAAGATGTACAGATGAGCTAATAAAACTCAGCAAATGTTTCAAGTTTTGTTAATGGTAATTTGAATATTTCAGATATTCTAACAAGCATAGACGCGACACACAAAAATCATGAAATCGAGCAATTAATCATTTCGCCAACCATCCGTTGTTTAACCTCTCGAAGGAACAATTTTGATGTTGTGATTAATATAAATAAAATTTCATTATTTTGATTAAATAAATTTGCCAATCATCCTTTCTTTCATCATTCATAGCATAATTTTCTGTAAAAGATTAGATAAGAAATTTTATCTACCATAAAAATGGAAGTCACAGACTTTAATATCTGCTACTTAGCTTAGAAATTACTATGCAAATTGAAAATCGTTGAATATTAGCAAAAACATGTAAATCGCGACTAATAAAATATTTAAATTCCATCTCGTTCATCGCATTTAAAAGAATAGACATTTACATTCTAATATCTATTGATTAGCAACTTTTCCTTAACATTTACTAAAATAAAAAATCCCTCTTTATTGTTGTAAGGCCTGAAGGAGATGGAAGAAAAATGAACCCTCGAAAAAGGAATTTTTATTAAGTTTAAGAGCTGTCAGTAAAATTTTTAACATTTCACGCCCTTCTTATAAGTTTTTTGTTCTCTTGTGGTACCATGTCGGGTTTTTGGAATCTTCAAAAATTTATTTAAAAGAGCTTTTAGCACTAAAAAAATGCATGGAGTGTGACCGGACATTGCCCAAACTCGTTTTGAATATGCCACAAGAGGATTCCAATCTGAAATGAAGATGTTTCACCCTTTTCACGGTAGAGAAATATTTGCATGTGAAGCGTAAAAGGCGCTGAAATAATAATTACCCTTTGAAAAAGGAAGGAAGAAACAACCGAAAATTGTTGTGTTTATTTGCATATTGTTTAATTAAATAAAATCTAATGAAAAACCTCGCTCTTAAGAAATTTTCCAGTAAGGATTAAAAGTCTGGAATATTTCTCATTTCTTTCAAATAATTTGATATTTTTTTCCTTTTTCTTATTTCATTTCTATGTCAAGATATGAATAAAGCTTTCATGCATAAATAAAAGAGCTTTTTGGTATATTTTCTTTTGGGAATGCTTCGCACAGAGAAACGAAAGATGGATTTTTATAGCTCAAAGTGGAAAGATTTACGTTACGATTGTTTACGGATTTCAAAGCAATTGTCTTTGTTATCAGCATTATTGTTTAGACGGGAAGAAAAGATAAATGTTTACTGCCATAATTTTATATTAAAAAGAGTTTTGCCAACATTAAAAGAGATTTTTAATCCCTTTCCTCTCTTCTATCAAAGTCTGTCAGTGAATTATAGTGATATGGTTTTAAAAGCTCTTCGCAAGCGAAAAGAATAACAGAAATAAAATATTCCTAAATCACATGTAATGACTTCTTTATTATATCGCAGGTGACATAATACACACTTGTTTATATTGCGGTAGATCTTGGATGGAATTGTTCTGTTTATGTTTCATAATTACGACTTCGCCCTGTAGATCTGCGACTGCGCGTTGTAGTGTTAGTGTTGAGATTCAAGTTTCATGTGTTTGTGGTTCGAAAAAAATAACCAGTTGTTCAGTGTAAGACGAAATATCGAAGTGACTGGTTCATTGTTTCATGAGTGCAGTAAAACAGAAACATAGAAAAAATCTTATAAGAAATATGAAGTTTAAACTTGAAATATTTAGAAAATGACGTAATATTAAGTCATGAATTGATGAATTTTGTGTAGAAATTGATGCAAAAATCAAGGCTGTTGTATCTTTCACATCAGATATAAAAAATTCTTGTCGAATTAAGCATGAATATTATGTTGGAAGAAAAGTTAAAGAAAAATTAGAAAGGAAAAAAATGGAAGAAAATCTTATTTGAAAAAGTAAACTCTCAATCTATGTTTGTGTGGGTGTTTTGCGTGTTTTTCTAAAGTTCGAACCAATTCACAGTTTCTATTGTGCATTCAGGATAAGATAAAATAAAGCAATCAAAAATATAAAAATTAATAAGAAAATTGTCGAAGGTGGTAATTTTTATCGCAAGAATAAGAAAAAAAGAATAACTGCAATCAAATTAATAGGAGAAAAAGAAGTAATTTTAATATCGTATTTGTGTAAACGGTGTTTCTACGTTAAGTCATCAAACGATATGTGTTCTGTCATCTGTAGTGTTTATTAGTGTAAATTCAATTGTAAAGTATGAAGTAAGAGGAAAAACTTTGAGACTAGAATGTTTTAAAGATGGTGTAATAAAGAGGAAATGAATTAAAAAAAGAGAAAAATAATTGCGAAGCTTTCATAGCAATTCTGATATCTATATTGCACTAATTAATGGGTGATGTTAATCTTAAATGATAATGTCTTGGATTTATGGGATGATTGTCATCCTCATTCAAATATCATCAAAATTGTCGATAAGAAATCAACATGTTGTCTCTGCAACGCCACTGCTTCAAGGTAAGAACATTAACTCGTTGTTGATGTATAGAAAAAATATTTTCGTGTGTATCTATCTCGCGTTTAACATTTACTTTGAAGTTTCCATACATATATTCGCAGATTCTTTCACTTCTTATTCAAAAAAATTTATTGTGTGATTGTAAGCGTGTTAGTTTAAGACTATCTTAAAGACGTTAACGATTTTTTTTACTTATTTAACATTTTTCTCTAGACAATTTAATGTTTTAGAAATGAAATTAGACGTCTTCATTTTTATTGTCTAATACTCACAAGATTCTTATATTTATTGCGGTTTTACAAGTCAAGACTTTTATCTTCTAAATATCTAAACTTGTCTGTCAACGTTGCCATAAAGTCACTCGAAGTCAAATCAAGAAAAGACAGAAGTGAAATGGCAAATGGAAATAAATTCTAATTACGAAATTAAGAAAGAAACTGTTGTTGTAACAAATCCCTTTTGAAGTTAATTTCTTGGATTATACTCGCTTACAAATTGCTTCTCCAGTAGATCCTTTTGAATTTTTCTAATTGGATTCAAGACAACTAGAAGAGACTTTTTTTGTTTTAATTTTTATTGAGGGTATTTGGTTTTAATTCTCGTTTGTTGCTTCTCCTCGAATAAAGACTTAAGAAGTGTAAACGATTTAATGAAGAAATGAGTATGCTTAAGCCATTCAAGCCTCTATGAAAGTGATAGGTGAATTTTTTCACTCTTCATCGTTGTCAGATTCTTTCTAGAAGAGATGATAAAGTGTTTTTTTCTTTTTTTTCTTGTCTCAATGGTTTGTTCAGAACTCAAAAATCCATTTTAGACGTTGATGATGAAATTAAATATGCGAAAGCGAAAGAGAAATTTCATCCTTGTTGACGATGAGTGAAAGCTTTGGAAAGGGAAAGAAAATTTAATCTAATTTTGTATAATAGAACATATAATTCCGTCAACATACGACTCAAAGAGTTTTGGGGCGGCTACATGAAAGCATTCTACGCGACTGCTCTTGAGATTTAATCTGAAAGCATTTCAATACGCACATGACACAAGATAATGTTTATTTATTTTTTTCCCTTCACTCTCTCAAACGACGTAGAATAGATTTTGTTTTTATCGAAACATTGAGGGATGAATTTAGGGGGTGATGGAATGTGAAATTTCTCATCAGAATCATCACGACTCGCTCTCATAAATGTGATTTTCTATTTATCTTTCGCACTCTATTCGATACTTTTTTTTATACTGTTAACTGTAGATTGAGTCAATGAATAATCAATATTTGAAATAAAAGGCAACAAAAGCAGCGACAGCAGCAGCCACACACACAAAAAGACTGATTTCACCTAAAATAATGTTCCATTATTTTTTTTTCTTTTCTTACTCACTTTGTTGTTTATGAGTCAGCAAGTTTTTGTATATATGAAGAATGTTGTGAAATTTACATTTCATCTCAATATTATTTATTTCACATTAAATTAATGTAAAGCAACAGCAGCTTATATATTGCATACTTAGACTAATACTTTAGAGTGTTATGACACGTAAGACTTTGAATATATTTTCCTCTCATTTTACCACATGATTATTTGCTTGCTTACATGAGTTCCATGCTTATGTAGCTTTGTATAAATAAACAAATACGAACAAGCATTCATTATGCTCCTTCGTCGACAATAATGTATATCAAAGTGATAGCTTATGACTAAAATTAGAAGTAAAAACAAATATTGTCAGATGATACTAAGCTACCATTTCATTTAAGCCCATCGTCCGAGCTTCGACCTCATTTTCATTCAACATTAAATTCTTTTTTGGCACGATAGCAATCTCTGATGGTTGTGTGTTTAAAATTACATTACGCGCCACCGAATGCGAGAAATATTTTCACTTTTGTCTTCACGCTTCAGCTGACTCATTTCTGTTACTTTCATGTTGACATTTTCAATAAAATTCAATACTTGAATTCACAACAAACACTGGCAGTGTCGATGGACATTGTTTGGAAATTAAGAATTCTTCACATTGTGATCAGTGCTGTTTTGTTTGTAGATTTTTTCTCACTGAGAAGAGAAACGGAGCAAACAATAATCGAAGTCATTGATCATGATCTCATTTCCATTTTGTGAATTTGTGGTTGTTTCCAAATAGAGACACTCGAACAGTTATCCAAAAAAAATAAAAGATATTTTCTAGAGCACATGATGGAACAGCAAAGTGAAATGTTACCATTCGTCACAGTACCATATTGTTTGTAGCACATCAAATATCTACAACAATAGTTAGAAAGAAAAAAAAGACAAACAAATGAGCGAATGGGAATATTTTAGATAATAAATAGAATTGCTGGGAAATGTCGGAACTGTGCTATTGAAGGGAATGCAAAGAGTTAATCAACCTTCTAGATTATTGACGGGAAAAAATTCACTTCAAAACAAATCATTGTTTCAAGCCTACACACGCGTTCCATATAAAGCTCTGTCTTTATAATTTCGCGGTCAAAATTTCACATTGTATTGAAGTATTTTTTCGCGCTTGAAAGAAAATTTTTAAAGGCAAGCAATTGTTTCGTATTGGGTCATTAGTTTGTTTGTTGAGTTATGCACGTAAGATGAAGAAACTACTTTAGGAGTATTTTTTAAGGTTTCTTACTTTCAAAATCATAAGCTCACGAAATGAGTTTGAAAGCAATTCAGATTTTTTTTATAAATAGAGAACTACACAATTCATAAAAGAATGGAAACATTTTCAATCTCACTTAACTAACATTTCCGCAATTCAGTTCTTCCTATTGTTGTTGCCTTTTTTCTTCTTCTTTTTCATCTTTTTTTTGCTTTCCCAGTCTCGAAAGAATCGATTGCGACAGATAATTGTACCGTGTTTGTTATCGAGAGAATGTTTATTCAAGCGGAAAAGATAAACACATAAAGTGATATTGATCGGCTTTTATTCGCTTAATTTTTTATATTTAATTCCATCTCTCTCTCATCCTTTCTATTATCCCGCTTTCCAACTCTCCCAAAAAAATTTGCTACGATGGGTAGCAATTTGATGGCACAAATATAAATGATACGAAGTATTGTTTACATTAATCACAAACGAACGGTTACTTTTGCAAGTTATGCGAGTCATTATCTAAGAGACTACAGACCGTTCAGCACAACATTCGAGAATAAATCGCAAGGCATTAAAATGAAATTTAATTTATTAATGAACGAAAACAATGAACCGGAATGAGCTGTCGTTTCATACAGTGTTGTCGGCTTCTTGATATTTCCTAACTATAAGAAGAAGCTATGAACATAGACATAAGTTTACGCTACGAATAATAAGTTGAATTCTAAATTAATTATTCTGACTCTGAGCCAGTAGGAAGACGCCAATGTACTTTTCTTTCTTTTTTGTTTAAGGTACAACGACTTCTCGTCTTTCGTCGGTGTTGTAAAAAGAAGTCTTGAAGAGTCGTTGAAAGAAAAAAAAACTTGAATTTTTTGTAATTACCTATTGAAGGGTTGTCTAGAAACTCAGTCACGATGGAAATGATTGAAGCTTTCAAAAATTAGTTGATTGAAGAATGTAGCTCTTTTAAACATTTAAATATCTATCTGAGATGTAAAAAAAACAAACAAAATATTCAGTTGACATTTCATTTATTCGCCCCCGCACATATTAGTCACTCATAATGGTAAAACCTCTCTCAAAGCGAAGAAAAAAAATTCATGAAAGATATAAAACGCGACTCCTACGCATGGTCTAAATTTTTTGTCGCAAAAGTATTTCTTTGTAGAGACAACACACAAGTCACTGCTAACAACGTCTAACCTTTTTTAATATTAAGTCAAAATGATATCTGATTTCTTTAGCATCGTTTAAAATGAATAAAGTAAATAGAATCAGAAAAGGTCATGGTTGATGAATATTTGCTTGAATTAAATAGCACTTCTTATTTATAGAAGATTTAGTTGAATGCGTGCAACAGTTGTGGGCAAAAACCATTCGAAAAATAATAAAAGAACTCTAAAGGCTTTAGAAAAAAAAACTTTCTATTTAAATGTTGACACAACATGTCTGCTAATGTGTAAAATAAAAAAGTTTGTTGCAATTCTAATTGCTCTGAGAATGAGTTTTAAAGCTTCAAAATAATTAGTTATGGTTTAACAAGCAACTAACAGTTGTGTTTTTGCTTTCGAATGTGGTTTTGTTTGCAGTTTATCGAGAGAAAATTAAAAAAATAGATTTTATTGCGATTTCCAATGATTGCAGTCATTCGTCATGTTTCAATAGAACATAACACAGTTACATGGAAAAGTTTACATTATTCTACTTCTTCCTTCAAATTACTGCTTTTTAATGTTTTAGAGTCGACTCGACTAATGTTCGTAAACAATTAAATCATTTTGCAATTCTTGTTTTCAATGTACTGAACATTGTGCGAGATGATGTCGTAAGTGAGCTTTTAACCGACCGACATGTAAACAATTTATAATGAATTAAATACATGGTAAGTAAGCTTGATGCAGACGAGGCAAGTGTACTTGTGTTTCATTACGTAATTTAATGATTTTCAAGTTTAATTAATACGTGTTAAAACCAAAACCATAGATGAGTTGATGTCAAGGATGCGAGAATAAACTTTAAGCTCTGAAAACAAGAAACACTCGAAGTTCAACATAAATAGTTTTAACACTTATCTCTCTACTGCATCAACACCTTCTTAGATATGCAAATGAGTCTCATGGAAGAGCTTCAGTGACAAAGACAGAGCGATAAGTCATCCATGAAGCGTGCACTTCTTTGCTTAATTAAAACAATCCATTTCAACTCATTGTCTTTGTGTTGATTTCCGTTTGACTCATTCTTTTCTTTCACTTTTCTTACTTACCATGAATATCATTAAAATGTTAACGAATGAAAGAAGCAACAAATGACTGAGAGGGATTTGAGAGGAATAAGTTAAGACTTTAAAGCTATGAAAACGAACGAAGCGTTAAGAAAGTGCATAAATAAATCTCTTTCGTTTAAACATGGATAAGTGTTTGACTTACTTTATTTAGATGGATGATACACACATACGTAAATTAGATATCTTAATAGTTAATGAATTAGTAAGCATGAATGCCATTCGTTTTAAACTATTTAGCTAAGCATTCAGTGAACTAAATCAGCGTTCAAATCAAAACTTTTTAACAATTAACGTAATTCTGAAGGCGAAAGAACTTGAAAAAGCTTTTTGTCTTGTTTTTCCATTAATTTTTTGAAACGTGAATAATGCATGAGCTTTTATAAGAAAAATTAAAAATAAAAACCTTTATCGAATAAGCAAAGCATCTTCATGCGTAACTCCGGCGATTAACATGTTGCATAACATGATAATATATGGAGGTCTAGGGCGAAACTTGCAACATCTACATCAATTGAGCTAAATCTAGTTTTAGTTAGCACATAAATAAAGTTTTAAACTGCTTTTAAAGAGGGTTTTTGGATTTACGAACCTTGACGGTTTATTTTTGTTTTCTTCATTGTAAATATGGAAAGGCACGCGCGATGGCGACGAAGGATATTCGCAAATATATTTTGAACAGATCTAGGCTGCTGTTCATCCTAATCTCAGGTATTTGAGAAAGGTTTTAATGTAACAGAATATAAATTTCATGTGGAATATTTTTTCCATCTTGCCGATAAGTTTTTTGTTCAAGAATTTATCTTCTACGGGAAGCAAATGTTTGATGCACATGTGTGAGAGGTGCTGACATTCCATGATAAATTGAATAGAAAAAATGTCTCTAGTATTCTTGTAGTGCGATATACACGCTCGACGATAATTCTTGTTGTACGTTGAATAATTCGTGTCTTCATTAATTCGAATGGAAAATTTATGAGAGTCGAAGCAAAAGTTAATTACTAACAGACGTCGCATGAGAATGAAGGCAAAAAAAAGGAAACTTTCAGATGCAGGATGTGAATGTTGCCATAAGCAAGTGTTTCCTTTGTTGTAAAAACCTGCAAACATAATAACATTTTTATACTTTGTATGATAAATAACTTTTTTAAAAAATTCCCTTGACAAGAGTTTAAACATTGCCAACTTTTTTATTTCTTTGCAGATGCATTACCATCGTCAATAAACCCATTCATTCGGCATTGGGAACCAGCACATTTCAGTCGAAATGTCTTCGATCAAGCCCACACAGTTCACGAACAGAACAGAAGAAAAAAGCGAGATATCAATTACAATCATTACTCGCTCGATTATGGTCCAACAAATGTCATCAGATTCAATTTTCACGCTCATGATAGGTAAGTGTTTGAATCATTTGAGAAAAGATTAACTTTCAAATTCCTCCAATTTATGTCTCGGTCGAAAGATATTAAATTGAAAAGTTTCTGCAAAAATATCCTTTTTTAGTTATTTAGTTGAATTGAAGTTTCATTCGATAAAAAATTTCTAAAGAAAAACTTTTTATGTGAATTTTCTAGGGAATTTCGAATTGAGTTGAGAGAAGATCCAAGTTCAGTATTTGCATCTGATATCGTTATTGAGAATTCGAATGGTCCTATAGATTATGACTTGTCTCGTGTATATACCGGACGACTTGAAGGTAAGTTTTAAAGTTTAAAACCAAACTTTTATATCTTGTTTTCACTTGTAAATTCGATAACAATCGAAACGACAAAAGGTTTATGAAGTTTTCCTCATATTTTAATGGAGAAAATTCATAATTTATTGTTTATTTTTCGAGTAACGACTAGAGCTTAACTTTTAAGTCGTAAACTACAAAATGAAAAAATCACAAAAGGAAATCCGTGGGGTAATTAAAAAAGTTGAAAATTTTTCCTCGCACTCAACAACGTTAGATTATTTATTATGCTGTAAAAGTTCTCGGGAAAATATGAAAAGTTTAAGAATAAGTTATGAAATGTTGCTGAAAGTCAAGATGGAAGAGTAAATGAAGTGACGAGAAAGGGAAAAAGTACTTGATTTGCTTTAATTACTCTCCCTTAACGCCTTAAAAAAGTTATGAAATATCATACAATCTTCCGTTTTTAATCATTCAAAGTTTATATTTATTCCAGAATGAATTTTATTTAATTTAAAAGTTTAACTTCCTTCACAATGCTTTTGACAGCAATTAAAACTGTTTATCTTCCACTTCGTTTTGTATTTGTCGTCTCATGATTTCGCTTTTACTGCTTTTAAAACCTGAAAAGTTCAGAAAGCATTCATTAAATTCTTTGACTACAAGAAACAAACGAAAATAAAAACTGGAAATGCATAATTAAATAGACCGAAACAGAGATAAAAAAATAAAAAGAAAAGCGAAGCCAACAAGTGAGCGAAAGATTATAACAAATGATGTCGCTAGCGAAGCACAAGACGAGTGTGAAAAAAGTGAAACCTTAGTTTTTGTTGTTTTTTATATACATTTAATTTGTCATTTCAACAACTCGGAAAAGTACGACAAAGAAGTTTTACTTCTTTTTTTTTTGATTAATGAATAATCAGAAGAACATTGAAAAGACATTTATTTCTTGTTGCCGTCAACCGAGAGAAATCAGATTTCTTGATACGATGCGTTTTCATGTAATATTTAAGCTTTATGAGGTATTTAAATAATAGCGTGCAATTAAGCACAACAGTCAACAAGAATTTCTACGTGACGCTTTCAACAAAGTCATTCAAATGACTTGTGTAGTAGGTTTGCGGTGAAACCAAATTTGATTCGAAGGAAATCAGCATGAACAACAAAGAAGTCACATGGATTGAGGTAGTTTCCAAGCGATTACCTTGAATGTCACATTATTTTCGCTTCATTTCATGCGCATATAATTACACGCAAACGTGTTTCAATGTATGTATGGAAATTAAATTACATTTTCTTGAGTTTTAAGCTTTTAATTAAAACTTCATATTCAGCTTAATGCTTTATTTTATCACTTTACACGATGACGACGATTTTTTTATGTTTATGCTGTGATGCGTCGCGAATCACATTTTCCTTTGTTAACAAATGCATTGAGAAAGCATAAAAATACGTAACACGGGATGATGCGAGAAGAAAAATAATTCAACAATATGAGATGAGCATTTCATGTGACAATAAAAAGTCGTGAATCACAAGCAACAGTTATGTTTTACGGTGTCAATAAAACTGCTACATCATTCCATTAGCGTAAAGATATTTCCCCGAAACTTTGTTCTGGTCATTTAGCACCGAAATTTCTAAGGCAACAAGCATGAAGAAACTTATTCGATATGCCTTCGATTGTGTATATTTAAATAGATATCTTAAACCCAGCCTAAAGCTTTTCATTTTATTTAGACAGTGTTACCTTTTAAAGAATGCACTTAGAGCTAGATATTTATTTTCATTACACTCCATAAAGTGCTTCTTTTCATTCTCTTCCATCATGAACATGGGAATTAATTTCTTTTTGTGGAGCGGAAAAATGAAGAACATTTGAGATCTCATGGGAATAATTCATAGGAAACGTTCAACTCTTAATATGATGGGGGAATCACAAGAACATTATTTTCAATCAGATTAGAATCAAAATGAGATCGCGATGTAACAATAAATAAATCGGAACACAAAAAGAATATAAATTGACGGGTGTAATGGTTTTCAGCGAATACCTAAAAAAAGTTTCACTTCTTTACGTCTGTCAATTTTCTCACCCATTCTAATCCCGTTTTCGTATTTGACGGTTAATTGAACGTAAATTACGAATTTGTTCTCTTCTTATTTTTCATGGCTGGATGTTAAAAGCTTTCTTGTTCTCGTTGCTAATGCTTATGACAAAGGCAAACGACTAATCTTGTGATATAAACGCAACTTTAGCGTGAAGAGGCGACAAATTGGCTTTGAATTCCATCACATTGAGTTTTATATTTTTTATTTTCTCAGAGGAAAAGAAAAAGCTCTCAAAAGTCGTGTTAGATAAAATTCATTCATGATGTTTAGCATGCAAGCGTTAGAAACATGTCTACCAATCTTTAAGTAAACGATGTCGTCGCTCGCTTCAAGACATCATAAAAGTTTTACTTTCTATCCGCTTAGTGTCAGAAATAATGTACGCAACTTTATGTGGCCTTGTAACTTACTGTCGTCGTCTCATTGTCAATACATAAACAGACACAATTTGCCACTGATTTTCGTACCAAAAGCCGAGACAGTAAATTTGAATATTATCAGTGTTTGTTAGATGAAAAGAAACGAAAGAAAGAAAAAAAAATGCTTTCACTGAATTTTTTATTTCAATGCAGACGACAGCAAACAAATGTTGTGAATTATTTTGTTAGGGAAATGGAGGAAATTATGTTATGCGTCGCAAAAAAGTTTCCTGTTTATGAATCATGGCGTCTGACTGAGTTTCACATTATTCCCAAGGTCTTCATCGAACAGTATGCTAATGATTCAATTTTAGCTGAAAAGTATAAACTGTCTGAGAGGTTGAGTTCGTAAGTATGTTTTGTTGATGGAAAAACAGTAACAAAAGAATCGTGAAGGAAAAAGAAAACTGCGCAGTCATGTTGTTATTTGATAGTGAAATCCATTTAACTTAATTGAAACAAACATTTCGTGACGTATTTAAACTGTCAAAATTTATGAAAGCTTTTCTTAAATCTCTCCAGATTCAAAACTATTAAACATTCATAGAGAAATTTATTCATCAAGATTCCAACACAAAATAAAAATTTCTAAACTTTTACCAATTAATTTAAATATTCAGTGACCGAATAAAATTTTCATTTCATCATTCAATTATTGATTGAGATGAAGTGTGCAAAAAATACTTTGAAGAATTCAATTATTTCGTGAATTACGATTTTATGTTATTGATTGGCAGCTGAACTAGCAACAGTAACAACAGCAAACTGATGAAGATTTTTTTATTAAAAATCTTTTGTACAAAAATATTTAATTATCGAAGGCCTCACTCGAAAATTAATTTGTTTTTGTGTTGTTAGGCAACTGAGCGAATTTTACATCAAAAATATGTTTTGGCTATGCTCCCAGCAACATTATGAATTTATTATAAGATAATAAAAACAAGTGAAGCGTTTCCGCTTCTCTTTTTTCGCATATTAATCATTTTCAAATTAGATGAGTGGCTGAGGTCAATTAATTTTCTTTATACTTCTTTACAGATGATGAAAATTCTCACGTTCATGGAGTGCTAACAGCTGACAATCTATTTGATGGAACAATCGCTACAAACACTGAACACTTCTACATCGAACCAGCTAATAAATATTCAAAAGATTTGTCCAAAACAGGCGTGCATTCAATTATTTATAAATTAAGTGATGTTAAAATGAACTTGAATAATCATAACGATATCAATTCAAAACATAGTGAAAAACACGAACCGCATTGTGCTAGTGAAAAGCTGTTTAGAAAACTTCAGAAAGAGAAAAATAATTTATTAAAGAAAACAAATAGCAAAACTAGATTAACAAATGAAAATAACGTGAATGAAAAGTCTGATAATAATCTTAATAAATCTAAATTAAACGATGGTGTAATTAGCAGTACGCAGAGCGATAATCGTAAGGATAAGCTTGAATTAACAAAGCGTTTCAAGCGCTGGTTGCCCAACGACGAGGTGAGATCTATTAAATTTGACAGTCAATTTAATGCGACATGATGTAATGGCATAGACGCTTATGCTTTCTCTCATAAATTTCAATGAAAGCTTATTTGTATGAATAAAGTTCTATCGCTTGAATATTATTCAGAACTGGTTATTTATGCAGTAGCGTCGAAATTCAAGCTGCTTTTAAAATGAAAATTGGAAATTCCATTAATGGAAAGTACATTTTCTAATACTTTCCACATTTTTCGACATATTCTTGTCACATTCATTCCGCTCATCCCTCAAATTTCGCCATTCGTCTACATTGAATTATAAAATTTATTTCGCCTATTTTCCCGTCCCGTTAAAATTGCTGCTACACGATATGCAAGCAACAAAATTGATTTTTTCTCTGTCTCTTTCTCACTCCCACGCTCTATTGTTCTGATCGTAAATTGACGACTATTGAATCACGATTGTTTTTTTATTTTATATTTCAATGAAAGCGGAAACAAGGAAACAAGATTCTTTCAATTTATTTAAAGGGGGATGAGAAAATGTGGAACGAAAACAAAAAAATTAATTCGATTTTACGGTTTTCCAATTTTTAATGCAGCGGAACAGTAAAATGTGGAGACATAAAAAAGATTTTCCTCTTGTTCTTTTACCAACCAACCAATGAGAAAGCAATTAACGAGATTTTTCTTTCAGCATCTTCAAGCTAATTTATTAACTCTTTTCTTTTCGTTTTCTATAGTTAACAGATCGTCAAAATCCGCCAGTTCCACTCGACCTGGAAATTCCCTACAATGACGAAATGCTGGTTCGCTCAAGAGGCAGTTCAAGCTTGAATGATGACGACCAATATCAAAGCGATCAACCATCATCGTCACTTAATCACAACAACAACAATCATCGGAATATTTTAGTGAACAGTTACAATCCAAACAGCGATTTTAACTTTCGCAATATTATAACGAAGACGCCTAACAACAAAAATGTGCTTTCGAATGTGTTTGATGGTAACAACGGAAGTCTAAATCGGGTGAACAATAACTTTACGGCCACCAATCAACAATCGAATTTGAACTCGCGGCCTAATCATAAAACCCACGTGGAGATCATCACCAAAAATGGGCCAACAAAGAAACCAAATATTATCGTTAATAATTATAACCCCGATTTGATATTTGCCAATAACAATCCACCACACAACAATAACAAGCATCATCCGAACAATCAATTTCCGCATCTTTACCATCCACAATACAATGTGAATCTCAATGTAAAGAACGATTTATTGGATGCTTACCACACGAAACCATCGTCAGGATCATCATTGGCAGATCGTAAAAGTACTTGTATGTTGTATCTGCAGGCAGATCACACATTTTTTCAAAAATTAGGCTCCGATGAAGCCAGCATTGAAGCGATTACTCGACATGTTCAGCGTGCAAATGTGATTTATAAGAATACAGGTAAGTGAAGTTCTTCAACCAAAAAAGAAAAAAAAATTAAGAAAATTACTGAAAGAAAGTAAAATTTAATTAAAATTCTATCCATGAGATGAGACGGTAAGGAAAGAAAAAAAGAGAAAAAATAAATGTCGGAGAACTTGTTTTGTCATTACATTGTCGTTGTCGTTTTTTGTTGTCGTCAGGGTAAAGTTTCCTTATGCCATCTTTGCCATCTTGTCCTGAATATTAAATGTAGTTTGCAACTTGTGTCTTGGTAATGAAGCATTGTGAACGGAAGTTTCTTTATTACCTATAGAATATTCCACACATAGCAAATAGCACCACTCCTAGTTCATCATTAATCGGAAGAAAATAAAAGTGGTGTCATGTGGTTGCTTCATTCGGGGTAACAAGTTTCGCCTAGAGTGATTTCAAAATGATTTAAAGCAATTCTATTAAAACTAACGAAGTAAATTCATTTCATGATATAAGAGTCATTCATTTTAATCAGTTTTAAGTGTCACAAAGTACTTTGTAACAAGTAAAGGTAACGTGTGTGGTTTAAGGACTTAATTTGAATGGAAAATTACAATTTTGAAACTTTCTTTACCAGAAATTAAATAAATAGAGAACATTTCAAAAACTTTCACGAACCTTATCCATTTAATACATAGCATGAGAAATCATTTAACATTTGTTCTTTTACTTCTGTTATGTTGAAAGTTTTAATTGCAATTATAACTTCAGCTTGCATTAAGCATGCGACATGTCATCTTGAATGTTCTCTTCCAACTCAATAAGGAAAAGCTGAGGAATGGATAACGTAATTATGAAAATGAGAGTTGTTTAGAACAATAAGAGAAATGTTCCCCTCAGGCTTAATTTTTTGTACGTGCAATGACTTTCCCTCTTCACCTACACATTTTCTTTTTCTCTTTTTCGAATCTCGTGGACTTCAAGAGTTTCTGATAATATCGTAGCTTACTGACCATAAAGTAATATTAATAAAGCTTTACGATGCTTTCATGTTCTATTGCTACTTTAAGTTTAGAAATAAAGCTTCGTGAAACTACGAAATAAAATTTCTGTTCTTCGTCTTCTACCGTAGTTTGTCGAATTGAACAGCAGCGAGAAAAAAGTTTTCGAATTAAATTATATTTTATTATTTCATTGCAGACTTTAACTCCGATGGAAAACCGGACAACATAACTTTCATGATTAAAAGGATAAAAGTACACAATATGAACGCTCTTAAGGACCCAACGTACCGCTTTCCTGGAAATTACGGAGTGGAAAAGTTTCTCGAACTATTCTCAGGTAATTGCAGCTTCGTGTTGGCGTCTCATTTTTTCCGAATTTATTATGCACATTGGATAGACCTCCTGCGACACTTAAGCAAGTTTATCAAAGACCTAACAAGAATTTTTCTTTTCACTTCTCAACCTAACTTGATGGGATATCTTGTGAAATGTTTTACAAACCACAAAAAGCTTTCTTTCTCACTCCAATTTTCATCATTATGTCTGTGTCGTGTTGTGATGTTTCCTGATTCGAAGAATGATCCAACAAAGCCGATTTTCTCTTAAGCAAATGATGGTTGAAGATATAAGAATATTAAAAGCAGAGATGGAAATATTTTCCTTTAATCAAGAACATTTCTTCAATTCTCTTTAAATTTTATCAGCAAATTTCAATCCCTGATTGAAAGTGCAAAAGCTTGTTGTATTCTTTTTCTTCTCGATCTCGTGTACGCTAAGAAGAGAATTTTTGTTTACTTTGTATACTTAAAGTAGATGTATGAAAGGAGAGAGAAAGAAAGAAAGAAAAGCGAAAAAAATAAAATACAATTTTTGAAGAAGATACAAAAGCATGGAACGTAATACGATAAAGTTAACTTTACTTTATCTTCTTCGCTCCTTAATTTGAAACATTATTCATGATTCTACGATTATGTAAATTTTAATGTGAGTCTGTATTCCCACTGTGAATGATATCCCAATATAGTATTCTCCTGCTTTCTTTTTTCAATTAATATTCTGTTAACATCGCGAATAAAGAAAAAAGCATAAAAGTTGAAAAACGCAAAAGAAACTTCTTTCAGTTTCTTTTTTTTCTTTTTGGCGGGGGCGGAATTTTAGTTTATTCCATGCAAAATGAATTTTTTATATCTCTTCTTCTGAAGGGTGAAATGAATATTTTCCTTTCATTCACTTTATTCCATGATTCCACTATTCTCATGACTCGATAGCAATAATGACAAAGCTAGCTTGAAACAATTGAATTTAAATGGTTGTATGTGTGGTGGAACCATTTTTTCCCTTAAAGCTTTTAAAGTGAACTTTTACAACATTTTGGATCAGTATAAAAAAGAGAGTTTGAAAGGGTAAAAACAGGAGTAAAAACATCGATGCTTTCTGTTTACAAAACGCAAACATAAGTGAGAGTTTCATCCTCGTCTTAAAAATAAAAGAAAGAAAAGAAATTCTTTTAAATTTTACACAAACGGAAAATTATTTGCCAAAAGATATAAAACCATTTGAGTGGAAAGGGTCGAATCGATAAACTTGCTTCAGTGAGATCCTTTTGTGCAGTTTTAGATTGGGGGGAATAATGTAGCATGTATGACAAAATATATTCGAGCATACGTACATGTTTGTTACACCCTACCAACTTCAACCCACTTTAATTCGACATTCAACGTTTTATTTTCATCCATTTGTGCAGAAATTTCGTACGATATATTAGTTTATAAATTCTCTACCTTTATCTTATGAATTTACAGAGGAAGACTACGACCAGTTTTGCTTAGCTTACATGTTTACCTATAGAGATTTCGAAATGGGCACCTTGGGATTGGCGTGGACAGGAGATCTGAAAAATGCTGGCGGAGTATGCGAGAAAAATGGGGTAAGTTCTGTCGAATCAATTTAGTGGCTATTGTCATAAAATGCTTAAAATGAAATCACATTTCATTGGGATTTATTGGTAATGGTGGCGGTGGAATAAAAGAAAAATTTATGTTGACAATCAACATATATCACTTGAATTACTTTTAAGTAGAAAGGAGTTTTTGTAAGGATTGTAATACCAATTAAGGAAAGCTTTTAAATTCACTTTGATTTACATTTTCATGTTATAACATCGATAAATTTTGGTTTAATATTCCAAGCCTTCAAGCGTATCCATGAAATGAAAAAGAAATTAAAAAAGCTTAACAATAAATGGAAAATTTCTTTCGAAATGAATTTTTCCTTAACTCGTCATCAATCACTTAAGTTACTCCTAAAGCTTCAAACTTAAACTTAAATGGATACAACTGATTTCAAATCCCATCGTCTCAAGCTGGGAAAATGTACAACTTTATAGAAATGATAGCAGTTTCAGTAAATTAAACTTGACAGTTCAAAAGGACGTTGTCGATGTAAAAGTTTTCTTTGAATCAAAACCTCAAACCGCATTCTGTTTTTATCTTGCTATTCTCAAATCTGATTATATCTTGAGGAGTATAATTTTAAAACAAAGTTATTATTCAATTATTATTTATATCAAGTTCTCAGTAATCTACTCAATGTTGTAATCTAAGTTAGCGAAAACTTTCATGTTATTCTGATTTGATGTTTAATGAAATTTTGATATCTGCAAACAGATTTGAGTTTCAAGTTAAACGAACTAACAAATTTTTTTCATAATCATTAAATGGCTATCAAATGAAGGAAATTTTCCAAGATTTTCATTTCCAAATTTAATTAAGTAGTAATTACGATTCTGCTTTTTCATATCGACCTTAATTAATAAGTTCTGTCAAAGCCATACTCGTTTACTCCCACAACTTTTTCCTACCTGATACCTGATTGACTTTTCCTTTCACATAAATATTTTTCTCCAACCCAGAAGCAGCAAATACGTAAAAAAAATATTTATTGGAATTTTTTTATGCAATAAAAGGTTCACGGCACAATTTTCATATCGGTGTAGGAAATCACAGTTATCAACATCCTAGATTGAAAATTATTCGTTTCATTTCATTGCTCGAGTGGTTTCTTTGAAAGCCTTTAGCATGGCGTATATTATATTTATTTTTTTACTGTTGAGACATATAAGTATTTATTAACGGTATATTTCGGTATAATCTATGGTTTATTGTAACAGATAACACACATGCACCATGCGATGGTGGGTACGAGTATGGAAACTACATTTTTATTGATCTGCTTGACTGTAAGAAAGCTTATCTTACAGCGGCTATACAGAGCCTCAATTTCTTGTTATTTATTGTGTGTCTTGAGCTAAATACATACACAAACGATAACAAAAGGATTTATAAGAAAAAAGAAAGAAAAATCACAACTGGAAGGAAGTCCTAAATTCATGTAAAAAAATTGCTTCAGAACATTACACTTCCGGTTGCTTCTTGTAATATCGTTATATAAATTCATGTTGTATTAAGTCTTCCTGTTAACTCATAATAGATATATAAAGAAATGCGTTGGTATTTTGACGTAATTCTATAGATTTTCTTATCTAAACATTCGCACACAAAAAGGAATCGAACGAGTGGTCATTTGGTTATTCATTAAGCTCTAATTACATCCGGCTTTTAGATGCAGTAGAAGTCTCTAATATCCTTCATAATTAAGTCATTATACTTTGAATATTTATGACAAACACAGCTGTTGTTCCACATGAGTGTTGTGTTCTTTAAATTATTGATAGAATTTAGCATTTAATTGCGTAGATCTAACAATATTCCTTGAATTCAATCACAACATTCCGCCTTTATACGTGATTTGATTCGAATAAAATTTCTCTCGACTTTTCTATGAAATGAAATCAAATAAAGTGAAATGCAATAAAGATGGTTGATTCGAAAAACATGAGTAAAATGTTCTTATACAGAGTTAGTGACGAGTGTCAGGAGCAAGCAGAATAAGAAGAACACGTCAAATCGATTTTTCCTGTCTTTATTTTGAAATGCTTTCCCGTGGCAAAGTGTACCATGTAAAAAATAAATGGATGTGGAAGTGGGGGAGGAGATCAAAATTCATACGTCGGAGCTTTTCTACATCACTAACTTTCATATTGAGGCGAAAACAAGACAGCACTGAATATTGCTTAGTAATAGCTTGCCAATGATTTTCCGCCTTTTTGGGTTAAGGTCGGACATGCCTACATCAAACTGTTATTTTTTCCCTGCTCAACTTGCCACTTTTTTCTCTTCGTTTTTATATTTTGCACATCACAATGATGCCTGATCAACATATTTTTCTTCCGTGAGAAAATAAATGAGGATTATATTTTCATACATAAACTAATTTTAATAAGCTTGTCTTACGATTATGAAGCTTTGATGGAGCTTTTTTTTTCTTCATGAACATGGTTGAATTGCCTCGTAGCTAGCTTGCAAAGCAACATGATTAATGGTTGAGTATTCTTCTTTTTCTCTCTTTGCAGCATTATCGTGGCTCGTTAAAGTCATTGAACACTGGCATCGTAACGTTATTAAATTACGGAAAACATGTCCCACCAGCCGTGAGCCATGTAACACTCGCCCATGAAATAGGCCACAACTTTGGATCACCGGTAAGTCGTAAATAAATTCTTTATTCATTGGATTTAGCTTTGATATTAGGAAATGTTCAGAGCTTTCGTGTTTCATTAGAATATTTGCTGAACGCTGTCATGAAAGCCTTGAATGCTTTTTCCGCTCTTAGGTCGTCTCCAAAAGCCTGCAATTAGTTTTTCTTTATCTTGATTTAAAGCTTGTTTTGGCATCGTTAAAATGTTGAGTCACTCAACAAACATTCAGTCTTTCAAACAGAACAAACAAACAAATAAGCAAACAAACATTCACGACTTTGAAAAGTATGAATTAGGCTTTTTTTTAATTAAAGCTTTTGATGGATGTGTCAAGATTATGACATTTTGTTTTCAATTTAATTTTATTTTCGAACTTTCATAAACATTCTCATGAGAATCATCAAAAGTTATCACTTCGAAATTTTTTTTAACATGTCAGAAAGCGATTCATGTTGAGGATTTTTGTTTTGAGATGACTTTTGAAATGAAAAGCTCTGTAATGATGTGGTTTTTATACGTAGATGTTCTCTTCCTTGAAGTGAGAATAATAAAATCAACTTTTTGGAAATGTCAACGATTCTGAATTTATTATTTATAATAAAATCTATGCAGGGATGAAGACAACTCTGAATTTTGTGCTAGATTTAGTTCTTGATCTAAACCCTGATAATTGCCTTTATGCAGTCAAAACGTTTTTCATCGTTCATCTTTCTTATATCTAAAATATATCATATGAAAAGTTCTTTAATCAATATAAAGAAAAGATAAAAAAGAAAGGGAGAAAGAGACATTTTTGATGTGTTTTTTGACATATGAATGTTTGTTTATATGCGACACACTCACTTTGATCATAACTGCTAGGGATTATTCTTTTTTATTCCCTTGAGAGAGTTAAAAACGTGTATTGTACATATGTAGATATGTATACATAAATTTATGAGGGTTCGTCTTGATTCAAGACTTCATTCTTCTCTTACTTGGTAACAGGTTTTCATGATAAATTTTTAAAGAAGTCGCATTGTTCTTTGTGGAAAGTTGCTTGCTTTTAGAATAAATTCTTGATTAAACTGAAAGAAAATAAAAAGTAATTTTGAGTTAAGACGTAGATTCGTTTATACTGTACATAAGATGATTGATGTAGGAGAGATTGTTAAGGATGAATTAAAGCTCTCAGATGATTTAAGATTCCAATCTCGAATAAAGTTATTCCCGTGAGATTTATGAAGTCTCATTATAACGAAAGAGAAAAAAAAGGAAAGAAATTGCTTTTAACATTTTTTTATGCTTCAATTTACGATACTTTCAGAACTTAATGACCACAATTGAGACGCAACGCGCTTTCCCGTTCTTGTTGTTGTCGTTTGTGTCATAGCGAATCGTAGATTTATCTTATTCTGCTTTCATCTCAAGAGCATCATTTGCTTATCATTTCATTATAAGTATCAACTGAAAGATGTTGAACATGTACATATTTTTATGTAGATCTATCTTTGGTGGTATCTTTTACATTCAACAATGAAATAAATCAAATCGCAGCTCGAGAAGACATCAATTTCGAATCTTTTCACTTGCTTTCGATTCATCAAAGTGATTGATGATATTGATTTCATTTAAGGACGTTCGGAAAATACTTCTAATGTGTGTTGTTGTGTGTGTGTGTGTTTGTGTCATTTGTATGCGAGAAAGGAAAAGAAACAATTTTGTTTCTGATCAAATAAATAGCGATGAATTGCTTTTCTACCCTCGAACATTTTCGATATTCTTATGTTCTTCTCCCAATCATTTATCAATCGTGAGTTTAAACTTTGCAAAGCCGTGAACATGACCTCATTACATGTGATAATTGATGGTTGAAATTGTTTCTAATCTAACGTTTGAACTTTACAGCACGATCCAGACCAGTGTACACCTGGAGGTGAAGATGGAAATTTCATAATGTTTGCTCGAGCAACATCAGGAGATAAGCGAAATAACAATAAATTCTCGCCATGCTCTCTAAAGGCCATCGAGCCAGTTCTGAATGCGAAAGCACGTAGCAGTAAGGGCTGCTTCACTGGTAAGCTTTTCATACAAAAAACTTTCCCCTTATGCTGGTCTCACATTGACTTAATCGCAATTAAATGGAACATTTTGTTCCACTAAAGTCGTATGTATTAGAAGCACCTCTTGCCATGATTATCTAAGCTCTTTTGCAGTCTTCCGAAAAGCGTTGTTAGACTTAAAGTTTCGCAAATGACTCGAGTGCATATAATTGAATTAAGTGCAATTTCTTGTGAAACTCGTGTAGAAATGTTATTTTTTAAAACTAATTTCTGCTTCGTAAAGACTCTTTAAGCTCTTCGCACGGCAAGAACATTTTAATGCGATATTCGTTCTTTAATTTAATCTGATGTCAACTACAGTGACTGCCATTTTGATAAATGTGAATTTGGATTTCTCGACACTTCCCATCATTTGACATTCTCATCCTTAACATAAGTACACTTATTTATTACTAAATTCAATTTAAATCAACAGAACCACAGCAATCAATATGTGGCAATGGAGTCGTTGAACCAGGAGAACAATGTGATTGTGGTTGGGAAGAAGATTGTAAAGATTCTTGTTGTTTCCCCATGTCCCGTCATCCTCGCTTCGACGAGAAGCCATGTACCTTAACTCCCAGGTATGTAAATTTTTAATGACCTTCTTTGGAGCATAAAGTCTGTCGTTGCCTTCGATACTTGTCATCAAGTCAAACCTAAGATCGAAATTAAACTTTGCAATTCAAAAAACGAGAAAATTTATTTTAATGATAATGAGAAAAACCAAACAACTTTCAAACAAAACAGCAAGCAACCGTAGTGCTTCAATTGAATTAAAAAATTTCTTTCGTTAACGATACAAAAAGAAAAAAAATTGCTGAAAAGAAAATTAAAATTAAATTTGCACTTTGAAAAGAAAGTTGAGTGGTTTTTAAAGCCATCGCTTGATGATGATGATTCAGAATGCATTTCAAGTGGACAGATGAAATTAATTAAATGAAATAAATTTCAGAGCGATGTGCAGTCCATCTCAAGGGCCTTGCTGTACACCTGAGTGTTCTTTGAAGTACGGTGACAAGTGCAGAGATGACAACGGTTGTAGAGATCCGAGCTACTGCGACGGTCGTATGCCGCATTGTCCTCCATCGGTTAATAAACCGAACAAAACGATATGCAATAAAGAATTTGTGTGCTTCATGGGGGTAAGTTGAGTGGATTGAATTGAATGTAAAACCACTCAAAATTAATCATTTTTCCATTTTTTATTCCAATTTCCCAGGAGTGCACTGGATCTATTTGTCTTGCATATGGACTTGAGTCATGTCAATGTATTCCAGGCCCGAACGATCCAAAGACAAAGTCATGCGAACTTTGTTGTAAAATTCCTGGTGAAAACAATCCATGCAGGAGTTCATTTGATTGGAATAAAGCACCATATGATGTTCCTGACATGTACGCAAAGCCTGGAACGCCTTGCAATGACTACATTGGATACTGTGACGTGTTCCAGAAGTGTCGAGAAGTCGATCCTTCAGGACCGCTTGCTACATTACGCAAACTTCTGCTTTCCGAAGAGAGTATCGCTTCATTTAAAAAATGGGTCATCAGTAATTGGTATGCAGTCAGCTTAATTATCGTTGGCGTTTTTGCTTTATTGGTAAGTGACATAATTAATCAGTTTTTAATGAAGATAAAACGAATAAATGAATTTTATAAAACAAAAACGAAAAAGTTGCTAAAATTCAAAAGGAAGATGACAAAATGTGAAGAAATTTGTGAGTTCTTTTCGCATCTAGGAATCGCTAAATTAGCTTATCTAAGTCTAGAAAATTTGATTTAATCAAAAGGAAAAAACAAACTTTTAATGATTCTTCTTCTCGCTAAGCTCAAAGTTTTATTTAATAAGCCAACATAACATGGTAGAATGTAGAAGTTTAAAGAAGAATCATTGTCGTCATTATCTTATAATAAATAATGAAAATAATTCATGATGTTATGCGTAGACGTTTAATTATATATTCAGTTAGTCACGCTATCGAGTCTGGAAATTAATTTGTTTGTATGTTTTACATTTCATAGATCTTGAGCACACGATTCCTGGGCAAGAAATCAAACCTGAAGTTGAAGACTGTAACAATAATACACAGTGCGACAACGGAAACAGTGAGATTGCCTGATGATAATAACGGAGTAAGAATTTGTGGAAAATGTTTCCAATCAATCATCAATTGATTTCTTTCTCAGGTTATTGTTCACACAGCCGTTCGTACGAAAGTGCCCTTGAAGAAGAAGGTTCGAGGTGAACGTAAAAAGAAATCGTCATCAACTAAAGCATCAGCATTGCCACAAAAGGAAAATATTTTGCCAAATTCATCGGCTAATGTTGCCACAAGTCCAACTCTTCCCGTTGCTATAACTCTTCCTTCACTAAAATTATCCAAACGACAAGCAAAGGCAAGCGACAGTCCAAGAAAACTTTTAAGGAAGAAGAAGAAGCGACCGTCATCAGAAGAAAGCACGCCTAAGAAGGAAGCTGAAAGCACGCCGCCAGGAAAGCCAAGTCGAAAGCCTAAAAAGAAAACAAAACATAAAGAAATAATTGACTATTCAAATCCCGAGAATCACACAAACACTTTTGGTAAAGTTCAAAAGTGGCTACTCGAATCGCCGATTGTCTCGTCAGCAGCCTCACAAATCGAACACGCTTCGAAGTTCTCCAACATCATAAGTAAATCTCATTCAACCCCTGAGCATCTAACGAACGCTCAGAAATCTCCGAACAACACGAAAACTAAATCAACTAACAACTTAAACGAAAAAGTTCGCTTACAAGTTGTTTATAAGCCGCCATTCAAATTCTCACTCAAGTTTTCGAAGAACGACCCAAGTGTGAAGACGAAAGTTATTGGAATTGACAGAAGCAAACGTAACAACAAAGGAAGAGTTGATCGAAAAAGAAATTCTTTGGAAGATCCTTTGAGGTCACGACGAACTGCGCTTCTTATTCGGTCTGCGACAGAAGAAATCAATAATCAATTAACTAATGAGTTGGTTGACGACCCATTGTATGAAACTTTGAACCCAAAATTAAATCCAAATCACCAACAACGACAAAAATCATCAACCATGCCCACAGATAGTAGCGCAAATTACGAGAACGTTCCGATGTCGTCTACTGCCAATCTTATCGACTTATCCTTAACGAATTCATCAACGTCGCCAGTGATAAATACAGCAACATTCCGTGTGAATAAAAGCGCTAGTGGTAGTAATTTAATTAATCGCAATTTACCAGTGGTCGCTACACCTTTAATGACTAAAAATCGTCGTAATGGAAGTCAAAAGGGAAGCCAACAAAATTTAACAAACACAAGTAGTAGTGGCGGTCGTCGCTCGAGTATTGGAAATAGTTCCAATTTGATAAAGTTTAGTGGAAGTTCTCAAAATTTGACGCGTTCGAGTACAACGAATTTGACGAAAAATCGTCAACAAGATGGAATCAAGAGAAGAGCGAGTGACATGAATCGTAGTAGCACCACGAATCTTAACAAATATCATCGACAACATTCAAATCATGGTTCCAGCACCAATTTGCGGCGCGGTGGCTCCAATATGGACATCAACGCATGTGATGAGTATCAAGCTGTCAGCAGTAATGAGCGGAAGTCTCATAGTCGAAAGAACAGTGTGAACAACAAAGGAAACTTGCCAAGAACATTCAGCAACTCAAATCTTAATGGCGGTGGTCCGTTGCCAGGGCCATCGCGCCGCGACAGTTTCAATAATAACATTCCTCGTGCTAGTCTTAATAACACTACCAGTAATAATTCCAGTAATCAATTTAATCGTCAAATATCACTCAACGTTAAACCGACTCTTTTATCTCAACAAAGTCGTCTGTTGATTGACGAGTTGAATAAAAACCGTCCACAGACATCGTCATGTGATAGCTCTATGTTTAAAAATTTCGAATGGCCAAAAGTATTGACAACTCAGAGATCATTGCCTGTCAATGACGCGTTGGCATCCGATATGGAAGTAATGGTATCTGACGTTGAAAATCTAGTTAATGATAGATAGGACGAACTAATAACCCGCTTTTTTAATTTCTTATCTTCATCTGCTTCGTCGGTGTTTCAGTTTTATTAAAAGCGGAAATTTTTATTACATAAAGAACTTAAAAACTCTTATTTATGTATTTATGTTACGTGCCAATTTGACTTTTAAGATTCTTATTTATGTGCTTCTTCATCAACTGCCTACTGCCTGCCACTACCTTTAACTTAATTTCATGTTTTTTTTTTCTTTTTCATCCAAGCATAAATAAAAATATGTTGAAGAGATTTATTCCTTGTGCAAGAGAAATAATTTGTGAACACTTAAATGCCTCGAACAAAATGCGATTATTGAATAAATGTCATCACAACATTCACTAACTAAATAATTAAACGAAATTAACTCTAGTTATTCTTTTTATACGACGAAGACAAGACTATAAAAGAATAAACTCATATCAACATAACTGTAAAGCATTATTAACAATCATTGCAAATCATCGGAACGCCATCAGCGATATTATTCTTATTCCGTCTTGGTAAAGTTATTTAATTCATTTTGATTATTTTTATTATCATTATTATTACTATTATTGTTTTGTTTTGTGTTTCGTGCCAACTGATGATGATTGAAAGAAAGAGAAGAAGAGTAACAAGAGGGAGAATAATTGAAAAAAGAAGCGAGTTGAGTTCATCCAATGCTAACTTATCATGCTTAAATTTGTGATAGATGTACCTAACGCAAAAACATGTTTTGTACATATGAGAATAAGTAGTCGTGTATGCGTTGTGATGTAAATAAAGCTTTTTGAATTTACTACGCAACATGATAAAGCATTGACACAAAGAGATTTGGAAGTGAGGATATTGTAGTTAATTTTTGTCACAATGAAATACTTGATAGAGCTTTAAATTGTTTTCTAGTTGGCTTTTCACTTTGCCAACTATAACAAACATTCCTAATGTGTATGGATAGCGATTAATTTTAAACTTTCTACACTGTCTCATAAAAGCAACATATCGTAAGATCAACATAAACTTCTGTTGGTTCCAGACAAATCATATAAGTAAATAACTTGTCACGTAGTTTAAATAAAGAATGAAGTTTAGCCAACAACTTTATCATACTCTTGTGAAATGAACAAAAGGAAAACTTCCAATGACATTTTTTTGATTTTTTTAGATTTTTATTTTGTAAACGAAGTGCTATCCTTGCAGTGATTTTCTGCAATTAAATAAAAGAAAAAATTGTTCTATCCAATTGTTGAATGAAAAAGAAAATCTTTCTCGATTTTACCTCTGCGATTTTATTTTTCTAAAACAATTGTAAACGTTTTATGTTTGACAATACAATAAAATAATCAAATCGATTCGAAGTCATAAGTAAAATAATTGAAAATGATACTAATTTTAAATGTTAAAAGAAATGATAACCATCACGAAATAACTTTCATATTTTTCGTAAGAATTCAATTCACTTCATCAGTCGTGAATCAGTCGTCGTCTAAAATTAAAATGAAATAAAAAGTAAAAACAAAAAAAAAATGCTTTAAATAATTTTCGTTTTCTTTCATTATTGAATTAACATGTTGAAGAAATTTTTCCTTTCAGCATACATGTGATGAAAATTCTTTAAGAAAAGAAATTAGCGAGCAATTCTTATTTGTAAAATTTTTCTTCCACTTGAAACTTTCCTTGAAAGTTTCTTAAAATTCTAACTTTGTTGGTAAATAAAAGTTAATCTCACATGTAAAATTCTGAGTATCGAACTTACGTTCGCTTATTGAAACTTTGACTTTAACTTGTAATCTTAAAACTTTTCTTTCAGAAAATTTTGAACTTTTCTTTGAAACTTCAAAGCTCATCACAAAACCATCAAGCAATTCAAGAAAGTCTGAAATAAAAGTTACGTCATTTAACAATACACTTCACTTTCATAAGGTTAAAAAGGCAGATAAATATGCCGGAGGTATGCTTTAGAGATTCTATTTCATTATTTTTGAAAGTTAATGAAGAAGGAACATATTGAAGCAAAACGAGAAAATTATGCAAATTTGGAAATTCTCGACATTGTTCCTAAATTTTTCGGCTATCAGATTTGCCTTTGTGATGAAATAAAGAAGAGCAAATAAACTCGTGATTTAAATATTTTTCCTTGCTGCAATTTAAATTTAGATCATACTTTAAAAATGTTTTCAATGATGTCAAGTAGGAAATTTCAGTAGCAATAATTGAATATTTGAGTTGTTAAATTGATTAATTTTTATTTTGTGTATTCACACATGACATTGGCTACAACAAGTGAAATATTTGCGCGCATGTTTCATGACAGTAAACTACAACACCGCAAATTATTCATCCTGGGTCAGAGCATACAATTAAGAGGAAAATTTCAAGTTTCGATTTATGTAGAATCATGGAGGATAATTTGCAATATTTTGTGTACACTGTTGCCTGAGATGGATGTTGCTGATTTATGTTTACATTCTCATTTAATTATTAAAGTAAACAAATTGTTTGATTATTCAGTAAACAATTGATAATGAGAGAAAATTTGTTTCAAATAAATATTGAAATATTCTGAATATTTAGCATTTAGTTAAATAAATTTAATCAGGGGTTGGGGTTGAAATTCATTTTGAAATTTTATTTTTGGATAAAATTTCTTACTTTGAGAGATTGTAATATATTTAACATAAAATTTCATTTCAATTTCGATTCTTTTTCATTTCATTAGAGATAAATTGGATTTCTTATCTTCCTATTAAATTTTTCATTCTGAAATTTTCCTTCAAAGTTTTCAATTCCCGATGACTTTAAAATGTCTTTTACCCCCATTTTTCCATAAAATGACAAAAGTAACATGAAACCCATTGACATGTAGCATATAAAAATAGCAGAAAGCAAAAGTGAATGTCATATTTCTCAAAGGCAATTGATTTTCAATCATATTTTGACATAATTCGAGCTGAAAAATCAACAATTTTAGCATTATTTTTACCGCAACTCAAAGCTGCAAATCGAGATGAAATTTATGACTTAATCAAAAGCAAAATTGTGGTATAAGAACGCTGTTGAGAGCTTACAACTTAATTCAGCAATCGCATTAAAGCAGTCATTAATCTTGTATTCATGAAAACGTTTTCGATTTGAAAAATCGATATTCGAGTTTGCTTTCTTCTGCTGCATCTACAAAGAGGCGAAATGAAAAATTTATTTCATTCGAATTTCGAGAAAAATTTTGCTTTATTGCAGATGTGAAAGGAATTTTTTATTGACTTTGATATCATTTGAGCTTTTATTTCGCTCCTTGAGAAACTCAAGTGACCCAAGACAACAGCGAGAAAAGCCTAAAGAATCACTTCAAGATGAAATATTTGAACTTTTTTAACGAATAAAAACGTCGAAAATAAAATGAATTTTGGGAGCTTTTGAGATGGAGATTTTGTCAAGCTTAGAACATTTCATTTATGTGGAGTGTATGGCTGCTTTAAGACTCATACTTTGTTCGAACGTGAATCGTCAGAGTCGATTCTACATCCTTTCGGAGAATTCACTTGAATTTTGATTACATTTTCATAAATAAGCTGAAATTTATATGCCTCAAGATATTTAATACTCTTAGAATTAATGAAATATCCTTCACAACGTTTCATATTTTCCAATTACAAAAACATCCATCTACTTAATAATTTTTTATTTCTGAAAAAAAATGAAGAAAATTCATTTTCCAACAAGAGACGAAATTATCTTAAGCTTGAAAATTGTATTCAATATTTTCCCGATTTCCCATTCTTATGATCAAACATTTGTATCACGCTTGGAATGTCAATATGATTGTTGAACGAAATTACTCGACAAAGCCAATTTTCAGAAGGAATTTCTCCGTCTCTTGTGTAAATATAAAATAAATGAATTTAGAAAATAATAACTTGAAATTTCTCATAAATTTCTAATACAAGAAATGAGGAAAATTATAAATAGACAGCAGGATTCAAATCATTTTGAATTTTATTTATCTTCGATAAATAAAGAAAGAAGAAGAAGCGTTTTGCGTAAGCAAAAGACGCAATCTCTCTTCTTACTTGACTATCATACTGCTTGCGACATTCATCAGCTATTTCTGCCGGTGAAAACTGAAAAGAAAGCCATCGCAATGATTGACAGTACAAATTTCAAGAATGTTAAAGAACAGTTTTTGGCAGAGAAATCAGAAAATTTTCAAGTTAGGTTTGGGTTAAAATGTTTTCTTGTACGCTTGAAAAGCATCTCGGCAATAAAAATATATTTTGAAATCTCAAGAACTCATTATTATACGGAGAGGCATGTCGGAATTTTACTTGATATATTTTCTTCTTTTTCTTCTTTTTTTTAGAGCTGAAAGCATTTCTCTCGTTGAGTTGACTTGAGGATTCTTCAAATTGAGTTAATTATACCTACATGACAGAATTTGTTGCTTGCTCGTTCTTGGTTGCGGTTTGAGTTTTATTTTTATTTTTATTAATATAAACACGCTTCAAGAATATTTTTATAAAACTTCAAATAGCAAACATTTTATGGTCTCTTCGTATATTTCCTTTAATTTTACTTCTCTTTGCTAAAAATGGAAGAACTCACAATTAAAGAAGAATTCTTGGTTTTTTAAATAACGACAACACACAAAGTTCCGCATATTTCAATGTCTCTCTTCTCAACGCATTCTGATAATGTTGAAATTGTTGAGTAAATTCTGATGCACGTTAAATGTTTCGGAGTTCAAAGTGATTATCATAATCATCAATTTCGAATGAACGTTAAGCCAACCAGTTTAAATAACCCTAAAGCTTTATTCCATGCATCATTCAGAAGCTTCAACACGATGTTAAACACATGAATTGATAATCAAACATTCGCCTTCAATTCAAAAATATTTAGAGTAAAGATGTGATGTAAACAAATTAAAAATATTTCCTTCGGTTTATTAAAATTAATATCATTATGTAATGTACCAAATTCTGAGAGAAAATTATGTGTAAAACTTTTCCACAAAGAACGTTACAATAAAGCAATTAATGTGAATGAAAGAAAATATGGAAATGAGAGGTGAGAAAATTTTCATTTTTTGCTGTCTATCATCGTCATCGTCTTTACTTTTCCTTCTGATCAATTGTCTTGTGTCACAAAGAGAAACAGCGACTGAGAACATTTGAATAGCTTCATTAATTATGTAAGTAATTATTTCATCCAGGGTGTTTATGAAGTCTTTGAATGTAAAAAAAATGAATAAAGGGACTCGTTTAAAAATAAATTCATGAAATTCGTAGTACGTGACAATGTTAATGGAATAAACTTATTAGAAGTTTTTCAAACTTTTTAATTCCCTTTTTTTAAAAAAAGGCTTTTCACTTAACTTCTTTGTTTATCCGGTGGGAAAGTTTTCAGTTCCCTAAGATGTTAGTAAGCTTCTTTTCTAAACTCATGAATAATCTTCTCTATTAAATAATTCTTGTTTGATGAAAACTCCTTCCTCAGTAGCTTAGAATTAATGCTCTTTAAGTTTAATGTTCTTCAAGCATGGAAATTTCTTCCACACATATTTTTACGATATGAAGCTACAACAAACAAATATCTTCGAAAAAAAGGGAATTTCCCACTTCATCACTAAAAGTATCCCCAAGATCTTATCATTTTTCATTCGTTTCTATTCTGATACGAGTCAACAACTCGATAGATGCTCCTGAAAAATTCGATCTAATATTCCCTAACGTCATTAAAATTAGATGGATCTATTTATTTCTTCATCCCTTCAACATGTGGCGATGATGTGGTTGAAGGTAAGAAATGAAAAGTTTTTCTAGAAAATATTTTGAAATCTAAAGTAAGTGAAATGAATGCAAGCAAGTTTCATATTCAGAGATGATGTAAAAAAGTGAATTTTAGTCATGAGTCACGAGTTAAGTGCTTTCCAAAGAATTATGTTTTTCTCAGAAACTTTTCTAAAAGTGATTAAAACTTTTACCATCAATCAGTGACTGCGGAACTTTTCTCAAGAAATTGCTCACCATAAATCATAACGTTCGTCTACATCAAACCATTAAAATGTCAAATATTTCTCGAACAGGTGATAAAGAGATGTTTTAAGTTGATGTCTTCTTTTGGTACATAAAGATTCACAAAATTAATGTTTAGCTTTAAACATTTTAGTATTTATCTTCATAAGTATTTCGCAATTTCTTTTAAAATTTTCTATTCATCTTAGACTTCCACGAACTTGTCGTTTTAAGCTTAATTATTAGAAATATTAATAACATTAAGCTCTAGATTTTCACATTTTATATTAATTTAAATTTTATTCAAATTTATCCAGTGTTTGGCATGTCTGATGATTCATAATGAATTTCATAGCATGTCGTAGCAATGCAAAAATAGCAAATGACGAACCAACACTCAATTTTAGAACATGTGTTACCTTAAATATCATTGACTGTCTTTATTATCTTTATTTCCCCATACTCATTCATGTGATTCATATTTAGCATGCTTATAAAGTTTCGAAAAACTTTTTCATCCTAATCTGAATAGAAGACGAAGGATAATTAATGCATGAAAATGAGAAACTCTTACCTGATGTTCAGCCGATGAGAAAAACGAATATTTAATTAGATCCTTGAACTTTTTGACATTTTCACGACCCTTGCCAGCCTATTTGGCTTCATCTCTTCATTCTTTTTACGGAGGTCTTACACCTCGTGTGTCAAGCAATCGTGTTGAAATAACTGAATTCTAAGGCAAGCTGGAGTATTAAGAATTGGACATTTCACAGAATGTTTCTTTGTAATTGACTTTTTTAATTTTCTTTTCTTTTTCATCAGATTTCTTATTTGTGGTTATTGAAAATTTTCAATTTCTTCTTTAATTATTTAGAATTCAGATATCTCGATAGATGTTTTTCTTACTGTGTCCATTTTATTGGAACATTCGATATAAAATAGTTGATTAAATTATAAGTTGGAATTCAATCCATGCCAAAGCATCAATATTGATTAATTATGTTTATTTTTGCTAAAAGGAGATATTTCTATAATATTGAAAATATTTGTCAGGTATTCAAAGTAAGAGTTTGAATTAAGTTTTCTTTTTATACATTTTGACTTCATGAATGAACCTTTCACATCGAACTCTCGTCTTTATCAAAGATTTTTTCCCTTTCAGAAAATCATGTAATGAATAAATCACAAAAGTTTGTTCTGTGGTTTTTGCTGCTCTTTCAAGTGACTGTCAACTTTATTCACTCGATGTCATCGAAAATGTTTAGAAAAGGAACATGAAAGCTTTAATTTAAAAAAGAATTTTCTGATGCTGATAATATTTGTAGATAGATGTGAATTGAAATTCTCCTCTTTTTCCTCTCTAGGTCATGTTTACAATGACTTTATTTCAATGATATTGAATTTAAATATTAAAAATATGTGCTTTGCCAACTATTGATTTATCTGGAATCGAATAAATCGTCGGAAATTATTTATCAAGGTTGTGCAAGTTTCTCGTTTTCAGTTTACGAATAAATATTTAAATGCAAAAGAGATAGTTTTCCTTTTGCATACAAACCGAAAGCATAAAATTTAAATGAATGGTTGAAAAAACTTCAATTAGTTTTTTAAATTAAAATTTATATCCTTATGTGGAAAATAAAATTTTAAAATGTTCCCTTTATGAAGAGTTAATAGGAATTTTTTAATTGACTTTAGAAAGTGCGAAATAATACTTTAAATATCATGGGATCGACAATGACTTTAGATTGAGAAAGGTTACTTAAATCTGCAAAAGACGTTGTTAATTTTCTTTACTAAATTTGCGCTTGTTAAACCTTTTCAAAATTATTCTGAACTTGAAAATATTTCTCATGGTTAAAAAACCAAAAATATTTAAGCAGCGGAAAATATTTCCATTTTCATCTTTTCGCAATCAACTTATTTTTCACTTATTTTAAATGAAAAACTTTTTCACAAAATGTTGTTGAAAGCTTCGTTGAAAACATGAATTGTAATTTGTATACGGAAGTGTTGATACCACAACAAAAAGCCTCGACTGAAACAAAAGTCATTATGTGTGCTTTTCTCGAGCAAGATAAATTATGCAATTTCCAATGATAACATACATGAAAAGTTCCCATTCTTAAGTCTAAAGAAAAAAAAAAGTTGACATTGTGACATCGCTGAAAACATCTTGTTAACGATATCGAAAGAATTTTGTTGAGTGTAACGTTTGTTGTTCCTTGAGTGATGTTTAATGTGTCTTCTGTGAATTATTTATAATTGCAAAACAATTGAAGCACAATAAAAAAAAAGGATTAAAAGATGTTAAATGATAAATGAGATGAGTCAACCAGACAACTCCTGAGAAAACATAAATAATTGATAACAGTTTGAGAATCTCTGGCAGCGTGTAATGAAAGTTTAAAAGAAAGAATTGCGTAAGCTATTTACACTTAAGGTGAATTATTCTTTACAACATTACAGAAGTAAAATCAATAGCGATTTGTTGTTATTCAATATTTATTACTCAAATAATTGATCGCTAATGTCCACAAATACAAATGATCCGCGACTTTAATCAAAAGAATATAAAAAATTTGTTCGTTTTCATTTCAGGGTTGAAAAGCTTCACGTGCGGATTAAATGAAATGTCTAGAACAATATTTTCCTCTACCTCCTCTTGAAATAGCCCCTGAAAAATCAATTACTACCATAAATATTTCATGAGTCATTAGTTTGTATGTGTGCCTGATGTTTTGTTCATTCGTTTGAAAATAATTTTCATTCAGTTCACTTGACTACGCTGTTCGACAAACTTCACTGCTTTTACCAAACATTCTTTTATTTTCTTATCGTTTGTCGTGATAAGCGCAAGATTCGTCGCGTTTATTTTTTTATTATCAGAATTGAAACAAAAATCCAAGTGATAAGATAACAATTCATAGCGAAAAATCGCAACAATTCACCTGACATTGTTCAAACGAAGTTAAGTTTATTTCGAGCTTTAGCTGGCAGTGGTTTTGTTCTGTGAAATTGGAAATTTTCATTTCCTTCTCTCGCTAGTTTAGTGTTTGCGATTGCTCTTAGAGATAAAACGAAATAAAAAAATAAAGCAAAGTGAGATTTTTTTGGGTGCGTTTGAAATTACAGAAGCATAAAAACTTTTATTTAAAAGCTTTTGATTAAGTCTGAAAGTTTTGCCATCACGTGAAGAATAAAGAAGTGACAGAATGACGAATCCGAATAATTTAAACACTGGAATGCGATGCATCAAGTTTATTATTTTTACAATCTCGTTTATGTTTGGGGTGAGTTGCAAAGCTTAGTGATGAAAAATGTTTTTTGATTATCCATTTTGGCTAGAAAATCACAATTTCTTAGGCTCGATTGAGCAATCATTTACCAGAAAATGGCTTGATCAAGCAGAAAGTTCACTTTATCTGATGTCATTATCAAACACCATAAACTGTTAATCGATAATTAAAATCGAGGACGGAATGAAGGGCAGAACTTTTAGTGGAAATGTGTCTCATTCTGCTTTACTCCTAAGTACTAACTTACACATTCACAAGCTGCTACTTGGATAACTGTCTAAACGAACACAACTTTCGATAAATGTTCGTTGATAAGAAAAAAAAAGTCGTTAAAGTGATATTTTCACACGTTTCCATTTGACTTGCCTTCCATTCCACTCAAACCAATCGATTTTCACAACCTAATGAAACAATTTTGTTTTATTTTCTATTTAATTAATTAATTTTAAATATGATTTGAACTTTCTTGCTTCAATCGACCCTTATTATGCTCGCTTTATTGCTAGAGTATTTATTGATTTATCATTCGGTGTTAATTTCCTTCACAGCTCACCGCATTTTTACTGTTGGCTGTAGGTTCGACAATTTCCACGATTTTCGATGACTTCAGCATTTTCGTCGATGATCATTTCTTTACACCAGCAAACCTTATGGTGTTCATTGCCATCTGTTTGTTACTTGTAGCAGCTACTGGTTGTATTGGAGCAGCTAAGGAAAGCACCATGCTGGTGAACATCGTGAGTAAATCGCATTATGAAATATTTTCTTTATATATCTAAGCTTACTTTTATCATTTGTCAAATTTAATTTATTATTTCACCGAATTACTTTTCAGTTTGCCCTCCTGCTGTTCATTGTATTCGCTATGGAACTTACAGCGGCCATTCTTGCTTATATGATGCACGGTCAAGTGGAAATGATGCTCATTCGAACTATGGATGAATCATTCCGGATGTACGATGAAAACGAATATATTGCCAATGGTATCGATTTTATGCAGCAAAACGTGAGTTGAATGAATTAATGAGTGAAGCAGCGAGAAATACTTAAAATGAAAAGAATTAAGAACGAAGGAAAATTACTTTTTAACAAAGAGATAGACACAAAAACTTATTTCAAAACATTCTCCTTTTAATCTTCGCAACATTAATGTTTCATCTTAACAAATATTTTTAAAGATTCGCGTTTATTTTATCATTGACCATGAAAGTTTTCAATTCCAAGCCCTGAAAAATGTAATTTCTAAAACGTCTATCAAGTAAAGAAACAAACACGTGCGGGATCTTTTGTGGAAAAATATTTCTATAGGAGAATGCTGCTAAGTAATCGATGATTGATATTCTTTATTTTCTTCCATAGCTTGAATGTTGCGGAATCGATTCGCCAGATGACTGGGCGAAAATAATCGAGGCAAAAGGAAATCAAACATCGGTTCCGGAGTCCTGTTGTCATATTATGTTTGTAGATCAAGAGACTGGACGTAATGAGTGCGAAGAATTTCATCAGTTTGGATGCCTGCCACGATTGAATTACATCATTGAGAAGAGCGCTATGTTGATCGCCACAGGAGCTTTGACAATTGCGATTGTACAATTCCTGGGAGTTGTTTGTGCTTTTATGTTAGCGAAAACAATTCGGCGAACAAAATCTATTCGTGAAGCTCGCCGTTGGCAACTTCAACAAAGTCTGGGCGTTCTCACCAATCCTTTTTCTTTTGATAAGCAAATGGAGGCCAATGCCAGCGGACGACAATACGACCCTGATCCTGAATACACTCAAATGGGAAACAATAATAATACAAATACTTACTTACCCAACAGTCCAAGCGTCATGTAGAATTTTTCTTTTCTTTTCGTGCTTGTTTACCTTTGATAATAACGAAGCTACATAAAATAAACTGGCGAACGCCATTGTGATGTTAATGAAACAATCTTTTATCCCTTTTCAACGTAGATGGATTGTAGCGACATGATTTTAAATACTTGTTAAAATATAATATTCATGAGTTCATATCCATGAAAATATTTTTAATATTCATTTCAATGACAAAAGTTTCATGCAGCATAAAAACAATGTTAAATTATGTAATTATTTCATAATATTAATGCTTGCAAATTTCCTTTCTCTCTTTTTGTTTTCAATTCAAATTCAAATTCATCTGACACGATGGATATTTAAATAATTTTTCAACCCTTTTTCCCTTTGTCTCCATCTTCCATTATCTTATTCAAGCTTTTTTCACCTACTTTTATTTATGTATCTCCCGATATAATGTTTGTTTAATCAAAAGTTGCGCATAATAAAACTTTTACTACTTATTGAGCTGTTAAACTAGAATGTTTGTTTTTGTGGATATTGGAAGCGAAAGTTTTTGTAGTCGATTTGGGGGTTGAAGAAACAAAATGAAGGGTGGAGCAGCAAGAAGAGTTTGTTATGTGAGATATTTTGAAATGAGAATGCATACGATGCATAAAAGCTGTTTTTAGAATCATTGGGGAGATGACTCAGCTTTTTTTCAGTCGAAAAAGTTCAAATATTTTCTCTCATGTCAGATATAAACATTGTGGTGCAACGAAATGGATCGTATAAAGAAATATATGGCGTGGAAATAATTAAAGTTTCTGTTTTTGAGTAGAAAAATGTGGAATTTCAAGCTGAAAGCTTCTATGTTTCTTATTTTATTTTAATTATCTTAAAATATATAACGAAAATGTTGACAACATTAAACTTTTAATGAAAGAATATTGCAAATGTTTGTTGAAAGTTTTAATCGTTTTAAATAAATTTTTGATCTAATTTACGTATCTTCATGAAGCAATCATTTACATTCCAAAAGTCATTATAAGTAAATTATTAGTACATTAATCAATTCCTACTGAAACAGAGAGAGAAACCCGACAGCTTACAATATTAATGAACTTTCACCTGGACATTTCTGTATACTAAATGCAACAAGCTTTAATACTGGAAATGAAATATTCATTACATCAATTTCTATCAATAAGCCAGATGGTGCTAAAACTTTTCCAATCAGCTTAATTTGTTATCAAACTTTTACGTAGGTAAATAAAAATAGGAAATTTTGCTTATTTTTCAAAATAACTTTAATGATTATTTAACAAAGAAAATGATGTAATTATTTCAAAAGGATCTTTTTAAAGCTTCCTACTTTCTTACTTTGCATAAATATTAAAACTGGGCTTTTCAATTACTTATAGTTATTTGAAATACAAAGTTCATGTGGAGATAAAGCTTGTAAACGTTGTTGTTTGTCTCTCGCTCCATGGAGCCTTAGAATAAAAGCAGACAATAAGCGCGATAGCGAACAGTTCTATTGCATTTTTAAGCCCGCATCCCGTATTATGTTATGTAGCTACTTCCAAGTGCATCACATTAATAATTTTTAATGTTTCCATGCAATATGCTGCTGGCGGTGCGCGGTATATTAAATTATGATTACTTCCTTCTGCATTGTTGTACGTTCAAGTAAAAAGAAAAGCTTTGATTATTGAGGCAAGGAAACGTATGGTTTCGTTAGCTTCTCTTGTATGCTGTTTCAATAATAAAATTTCAATTTACAAATAAATTTATAGCGTTTTGTGTTCATTTTTCCTTCAGCTGTTTTTCTTTCATTTTCCGAGTTTTTTTTTAAATTTTTCTCTTTTTTTCTTTTTTCATTTCAGAAAAGCTTTTGGAGAAATTTAAATAAATCATTTTTAGCACAATTGGAAGGATTGTTTTGATGAAATGTATGCATTTTGTTTGGTTCATTCCGTTTATAAAAAATGTAATAAAAGTTGACTTCATAGAGATGTTTTTGACGTAACTTATCAACAATTTCCCTCCAATAGCAAATTCATAAAGTATCATAGTGATTTTCCGGTTTTTCATTCACCAATTTAAATGAAAAAAATGAAAATTTATATCTGCGCCAACCTGTTAGGAGCGAACATTTTTCATATCATCGTTTGCTTTAGGGAAGTATCAGAATGTTGAGCTTTTCTGTGGACAACGTAGAAAATATCGAACCGTAAATTTGTAATCGATTTTCGATTTCAATTTATTGACTCATAAATGATTCCATGGTAATTACAAGTTACGATTTCAACAGACTTTCTTTCTGCAGTGAAATAAAAAATCTGATCACCAGTCAACTTTCTTCTTTAATCCTTATACAGTGAAACTTTGATAAGCCGATGGCTCAAGGTGCATCGGTTTATCGAGGTAAATTCCAATATAAATTTGATTCAAGGGACACAAAAAATATCGGCTTATCGAGGTTTATCGGCTTATCGAAGTAACGGCTTATCAAAGTTCCACTGTATTCATTCTAACGAGTCTATCAAAGGTATTACCTTTAGCTGTTAAACTTTGATATTCTCGGCTTATAATTTTCAGTTTAAACTCTGTTTAATTTCTAATGTTATAAGCCTCACAAAAACCAAATAAAAACTTCAGCGTTCATGATGTAGATGAAAACTTTTAAGTTTCAAAGAAAATGAAAATGCTTCTGTGGAAAACCTAATTTAAAAAGCTGAAATAAATTTATTAGTGGCTCAATTCAGTGACTGTCACAGCTCAAAATGAAAATCAACGTAAAACTGCTTACATCACTTAGATGAAGCACTTCTTGTCCTTTAAGAAATTTATAACGAAGCTTATGTGCATTCTGAACCAAACTTTAGTTCTGAATTTACCTACTCACATAATTCGAATCCTAACACTTCTCAACTTAAATCTCGTCCCACCTGATAATGAAATATTTTATGTTGAGTATCCTTAATTAATCTTAGAAGTTTTGTCCTCAGATGTCTGTATCGAGAACCGATTATTAATTTACGTGAAAACTTTTGCAACTTAAAAAAGCTTTTAAATTGACATCGAGAAGAGAAATGATAAATTGCATCGATTTCATTCACACTTGATTATCATAATTGAAAGAATTTCAAAGAATTTTAATATAGATTCTTTTCACAAATTGCTTGTTTACAATCATTTCTTGATTTCGATTGAAAGTTTCATTTATAATTGAAAAGAATTCTTGAAACTAAAGCAGGTAGAAATGTCTAAAAAACAACAGAATTCAATTAAATTTTAAGTATTTTATTGATTTCTCAAGATTTCTTTCATTATTGTGTTCCAAGTTCCAAGGCTGATTCAGAACACCAGATAACTTCGATAGGTGTACAATTAAAATGAATGTCGCGTATTTTTTCATTGATTTTATTGAAGAATTAAAAGATGGGGAAGAAACGATCAACGTTAAAGACAAATCAGTGAAAACGTGAGTTGATTTCATTATCGACATGCACGTTTCAAAATTTGCCTCTTCCTTCAGGAATATCTTTATTGATGGCGTAGCCTTTCTTGTTACACTTCATGGTTACTTGATTAAGCCTTCTCAGAGCTTTTATCAACAAAAGAAAGGAAAAAAATGCAAGCGAAACTTTTTTTTCTGTTTACCTTGCTAATGACAATCATCGAAAAAGAAACACCAAGTATGAAAATCAAAACGAAAACTCTCGAACGTTCATTAACAATGCTTCACTTAGTAAAGTGTTTTCAATTAAATATCGTGTCTTGAAAGACTTGAAGATATGACCGCTGAATCTTTGTGTAGACTTTGAATTAATAGAGAACTACGTCATATTGAATTTTACTTATGTTGAGTTTGCAAAGAAGCTTTGCTGGAATGATGAAGCTGAAATATTGAATAACATGAAAGAGAGAAATATTTAAGAAATTTCTAAGCTATGAACAGAAGACAGTATAAAAAACATTTCGATCATTTATCGGAGATGAAAGTATCAAATTCTATAATTTAGATGTTAAAGCTCCAGTTGCATTGAAACTTATCGAATGAATGACTGAAAATTAAATCAATAAATTAAGTTGTTGGCAAAACGTTTAGTAATTGCATGGAAGGGAAAGAAGAAAGAAAGAAGCTCACGTTTAAAACATTTATTTCATTTTTACGAGTTCCACATAATTTTGTATTGCAATAGTTTGAAGAATTTATGTAAATAGCTAAAAAAATATTCTATATCTCAAGCAATGTGAAGACGACGACGACATTTTAGGTTGATTACACTGACGATTCTATATTTATGCCTGTCTGCCTTTATCTATGAAATGTTTGATATACTTATTTACGAATCTAGACCTACATAAGTAATAATTTCTTTTATCGTGTAAGCTCCGTTGTCGTCATCTTCTACAACTTATTTAAGCATCTTCATTCATCTATGAAGATTTATTTAGGTAACAACAGATTTCTGTATTTTTTCATCATCATTTGATTATCAACAAAACATAACGATTGAGATTTTTCTTTTTTGAGTTTGCTTGTGAACAACGTCATGACGAGTTCCACAAATGAATTTTAAATGATTTGAAAGGCTAAAAAAATCTTTCTTGTTGCTATCAATAGCATGAAAATTAGTTTTTGAATACAATTCACTTCTTCAAGTGAAGTGTTAACGTCATTCGCAACCAAGTTCAAATCAAGAAGATAAAATAAGTATAAAAATATATTTTGTTTATTTAAATAAAGTAAAGTATAAAATAAATAGTTCAAGAAAAATGTGAAATCAAGATGAAATCTTTGAAAAATCTGTGACGTGACTTTATGTTTAGATTAGGTTAAGTTAAGTTTCATTTAAATCATAAAATTTGCACAGATTGATCAAATCATTTGTTTTCTTGTTTCCACATTTTCTTTAATCAACTGAGAATAAATCTGAGAAAAGCACCGAAGTTAAGAAGAAAATAAGGAATGTTAAAGTTGCGATAAATGTTAAAATAATTTGACGGTAACTAATTGATAAGAAATAAATGCATTGCTTAGCATTTGACAGACATTCATAACCCGATTATTGTCTCACAGTTTTCTCACAACAAGGCATCATAATTTGCCATTTATCACTGAGAAATCTACTTTACTGCACAGCTTTAGGCTCACATTGCAAGATTATTTTTCTTCTAAGTTAATATCATTATTGAGACAAATGAGGATGTCGATTGACAAAGTCAAAAAATTATTTTAAAAATGCTTTTTAAAAGCAAAAGTAAGCAGATAATTAAAATGAAAGGCAAACAATAGTTAAAAACAATCATTGGCCTTCAATTTTTAGTGGAACTTTTTGATAAAATAAATTATTGTCAATTGACATCCCAAGGAACAAAAAAATCAAAACGCGAAATGATTTTTCTTAGTGGAACTTAAGAAAAATACTAAAAGAACTCAAAATGCATTGAATCTATTTACCAGTGTGTGGCAATACCCCAAAATTCAACCGCAATTGTTCTAGGAAGACGAAAGTGAGAATCGTTTGTGGTGCCAGTCGAATGAAGGCAGGTACGTAGCCTTTGAAGAATCCAAGTGGTCCAAGTTTCGCTGTGTGTTTGACGATGTCCCAAATACCATTAAACTCACCTGGCTTAGCGTTCATTGCACGAGTCTTTAACACATCTAATGGTTGAGTCAGTGATGTTGCAATAGCTCCAGCGACACTTGATGCAGTAAAATGCGTTGTCAAATTATCTTTAAAATATCCGGATTCAAGTAAAATTTTCTTCACTTGGTCATAAAACGAAAGTTGTCCGATAGTCATAAAAACAGCACGAGATGTTGCTGTACTGCATCCAGAGAATAATCGTCGAAAACCTTCTTCGCTGTAGACTCTCCAAAGTCCATCAATTGCATGTTTGTAACTAAAAATTGATTCACGAATAAATTTAAGTTTGCTTGAATTAAACTTTTAATTCTCACTTTCTTCGTTGTTCTAGTGGAAGTTTGACATCATTCTGCATTCGAACATTGACCATATCAGCAGGTGTCCCAACAACTCCTCCGCAAGCTCCAGCACCTCCAGCTAACAGAACTTTTCCAAGGAAACCCATGTCAGATCCAAAAGTTTGCTTTCCCATCTCATAGATTCCAAACCTTGTTGTTGAGTAGGTTAATTGTCTGAGTAGTGATGCTGAGATCCCATTGTATAGTGCAGTTATGCCTTGACTTCTCACAAGATTTCCTGTTAATTTGATGATGGAAACTTTACCTTCTTGTGTCGTTTGCAATTGAACTTTGATAAGATCGAGAGGATGTGTTACACATGCAGCACCTGCTGATCCCAATCCTCCAAAATACCATCTTGCTAGTCGATTTTCTTTAGACATATTCCTAATGGTCGAAACAAGAAAGTCATAAGTTTAAATAAATTTCCAGAATTTTTTTTATTGACCTTGAACACAATTTTTAAAATCGAAGTTTCAATTGACAAATAGCACCGTAAATCGTCAAATTCACAACATATCCACACAAAAATAGGTGCTTTATCTAGGAATGATAACAATATTGCTAATCAATAATGTTTTTACACTATTTACGTAAAATAACTTTATTTACACAAAACACATTTTACAGTGACATCTGTTGTAATTTTGGTGCAATATTTTTGTGACAAACGGACATTAAAGAAATCTCATGTATGAATTTATTTATGATGCTAATCGCACGTATTTTTGTTTACATTTTTGATGAAGATATCGTGTTTGTATATTGCACTTTTATCAAATTTTTAATACGATTAAAAAGCCTTTCAAGGTAAGTAAGCATTGTTGGAAAGAAATAATGAATACGTTAAAGGTGTTCAACATATTATGTCATCAAATGTCCGGTGATTATACAACCAAATTACGAAATGGACTTCTTAAAGAATTTTATGATTAATAATCTAGATTATTTGCAATATTTTAATTGACATGGCTTAAATCATACCTAATTTAATTTAAAAATTGAACTTGAAGCTTTTTTTGCACAAATAATTAGAGTAAATATGATTTGTTCGAAAATAATTTTAATCTCTTCTAATTCTCAAGCAAGTAGAAAAAATCGGAGAAATTAAAACCAACCTTGAACAATCAAACACGTTGCACAATCAATAGAAGTACCGAAATCAGGACTTTGAATGATTCTCTTCCTTTAAAGTCCTTCAATATCGATTTTTTTCAAACGGAACCACTTGCACACATTTCAAATCAATAACCCGATAATACTTCCACTTGCGGCTGATACTGAATCAAAATTGAGCAAGAAAATATATTAGTCATTTGAGTGTGGCATTAGCATCACACATTCACAATCATAATGGAAATACAGTCAATGTTCAGTTCCAAAACTATAAAAACTTTTTTCTTTCATAGAGAGCAAGTATGCTGTGAATGTGTTTCCTGTAAATATCTATAAATAAGCAGCAAAACATTCATTAACAAAAAGTTGTAACCTTCCCCATATGATGAGCGCACTTAATAGATTTCGCTCGTTTTTCATTATCGAAAGGCGGATATTTTCAAACAAAAACAAAAATTCTATGGTTGTTAAAAGATTTGTTTTTTATTTCCCTACCACACACTTTCACGAAAATCGTCAAGCCAAATAAAATTTTGAAGCAAATAGAGCTTGATTTATGATTACGTTAAACCCACGACTTATCTTATTTATTTTTAGCCGATTGTGATAACCAGTTAATCAAATAGCAATTAAGATCATCGTTGGTTTCATCTTATGGCGCTTTTAGTATCAGCGTGTGGCTTCACAGAGCCAAGGAAATTTATCGTCATCAATGAAGCTCACGACATTGAAAGTTCTTTTTTAATTAGCGCATTAATTGGTCAACGTCTGAGGCTTCAAAATTCTGGACTCGTGTTGATTTGTTGTCATCAAAGCTTCAAATATTATGACGCTTGTGGAAAGAAATTGGGCTACAATTTATCGATGAGTGTGAGCAAGAAATGTCTCCGTGTTGTTGAACCATTGAAAGATATGATAAACTTGAAGGAGGATGAACTAATAAAACATCTGATGGATGAAATTAATAACAATTTGAAGTTATTAGAAGACGACAACAAAAAGAACATCACGATTATTATTGACGATCTTTCCTTCTTCATGAGCTTGGGGTGTAGTGAGAAAAGTCTTATAAAATTGGGACTTAAACTGCATGAGTTATCACAAAAGAAAGATTCTCTCTCTTTTGTCTTAAAAGTCGGTCTTAGCGACTTTCACAGCTATCTTTCGAACAACCTTGAAGATCTCGCTGATGTTTTACTCTCTGTTGAAAGACTTAAATCAGGAAAGTTTTGGGATGTTGATGGAAGAATAACAATAAAGAAAATGAATATGCAAAGTTCAATTCCGTTAGTGGAGAGTGAAAGAAGTCTTCTTTATTTCATTGGTGATCACAATGTGAAGCTAAGTGCACCTGGTGAGTTTGGATTAAAGGTTTAAAAATACTTTTGTTTTAAAGAAAATTAAATAAAAATTAAAGCTTCAATATATCTTTTTGTATTGATTTTCAAAGAAGAACGTCTGGCAAGGTTCCATGTTTAGATCAATTTATTCCTACTGACTTCACAATACCCCGCATGGTCACTTTCGTCTTCTTTTTCCCTTTCCTTTTTCTGCGATCAGAAGAAAACAGCCATGAAAGTCTTTCTTTTTTTTCTGTTTTGTTTTTCGGCTCACAAGTCATTTTTCCACTTCATTGCCCTTTTTCATAAATACATCTGAACAGGCTTTTTCTTATTCTCTAATTATAAGAGGCAAAATAGAATTTGAACAAATGACCACCACTACCGGAAATCTTTTGTACGAGTCGCTTTAAGAAGTGTTTGAAAGAATAAATTAAAATAATTTTCTTCCTTTTATGCGACAATTTGTTGTTTCATTTTTATTTATATGCTCGGATTTATCATCGAGAGTTGATTAATTGGCAAATAGAAAGTTCAAGGTGAGAAGGGTGAAAGAAAAAATAAATTAGGTAATTATCTAATGTTTCAAGTTTTCCGTTGAGATGAACAGAAGGCCTCATGATTTCAAATAAAGTTATAAAAACTTGAACTTAATGTTTATAAAGATCTGAATGCTAATCAAACATCAATACAGATTTTTTTGATGTCTCAACAGATTTAGATTCAGCTGATGAATATTTTTGAGCGTCATCTGGTGAAACGTCGATATTTCTTTTGAAATGATGTTGTGGTGAATTTCCATGCTGTTTCTTTAATTTCATTTCTGTGTGATTTATTGATATGAGGTTGGTGAAACATCAAAAATGTTACATTTTTAGACATGTTCGCAGATCTGACAAATCCCAAATCCTTCTAATTATTTTGCGACATCATTGAAGCTCTTCAAGTTAATTTTCAATGACTTCAGCCCAAGTTTGGAATAAAAAGAAGCTTTGACCTAAATTTGTACCTCGAAAAGATTTAATCACTCAACGAATGGGGGGGGGGGGGTT